CCTTTTGTGTGCTGCTCATCGTCCTTCTGCCACCGCCGCCAGCCCCTGCTGCTCACAAGACACAGGTAAGCAGCCACCGGGGCTTATGGTGCTCCTGTATCTCCCTCCAAAAAAACATAGTCTGCCTAGCCCCCCTGATATAGGCTATGTGCATGTTGTTGTTTAGTCGCGTCCGACTCTTCGTGACCCCATGGACCAGAGCACGCCAGGCACTCCTGTCTTCCACTGCCTCCCGCAGTTTGGTCAAACTCATGTTCGTAGCTTCAAGAACACTGTCCAACCATCTCATCTTCTGCCATCCCCTTCTCCTTGTGCCTTCAATCTTTCCTAGCATCAGGGTCTTTTCCAGGGAGTCTTCTCTTCTCATGAGGTGGCCAAAGTACTGGCGTCTCAGCTTCAGGATCTGTCCTTCCAGTGAGCACTCAGGGCTGATTTCCTTCAGAATGGAGAGGTTTAATCTTCTTGCAGTCCATGGGACTCTCCAGAGTCTCCTCCAGCACCATAATTCAAAAGCATCAATTCTTCGGCGATCAGCTTTCTTTATGGTCCAGCTCTCACTTCCACAAATCACTACTGGGAAAACCATGGCTTTAACTATACCATACATTTAAAGCAACTCCCCCTCCCAAGAGCCATGGGAACTGTAGTTCGCCCCTCACAGAACTACATTTCCCTGCTTCCTTAACCAAGTACAGTTGCTAGGATTCTTTGGCGGGGGAAATGCACTTTAAGTGTATGGTTTATAAACTAAATCTACAATTTGTTTAGTCTGATCATTTTCTATAGGCTTTTGTTAGAGCTGAGAATCTCAGTTCAAACCATGGCAGAACAGTCTTTCACAAATCCGCCTTGTAGATACACATTTCTCATGTATTAATCAGAGGACACAAAGAATCTCAATTAACAGACACCATTAAGGACAAGATGAGAACAGAAAAGGAGTGTGTGTTTTATCAACATACCCATGGGATAGGTACCACAGGTATATCATAGAATTAATACTTTCGGACAAATAGGGTGTAATCAACTCACTTTTTTTGTCCTTTTGTTTCCTGATGAGTTTGGCTATTTCAGAATACTATAGCAACCATATGGCTCTGTCTTAATTGCCAATTTCCTTTCCTTACTTGCTAGCCAAAGCCTAAAATATGTGCATGCTGATTATTATGAATGAGTATGATAATGCACCTATTTTTGTATTTTTCAGAGAAGCTACTTGCTGCGCTCTCGGTGCTGGTCTGAAACCAGGCACTGCTGTTAAAGTGGGTGTTAATGATCTTGATTCAATTAAAAGAGTGTAAACGGGTTCCTAATTAGACTCCTTGAAAACCTGCGGCAGCTGCGTATTAACTGTATTCATCACCGGGCAAAGCAGACTGTGTGCTTTGTGGGGTCTCTTTACAGCTTTATGTACAAACTGCTTATACCCAGAGCATCATGTCAAGGCTAACATACTAGACCAGTTCAGGTGCAGTGCCAATGGCTGGCATTGGTGCAACCAAACCATGGACTTGTCTTCATACCTTCAAATCAAATTTGTATTCCTGCATTGCGGGGGGCTGGAGTAGATAATCCTTGGGGTACCAGTACAATTCTAAGATTCTATTATTTTAAGTGATTCAAAGGGCAATGTGAATGCAGTGAGCGTAATGCAGCTGCCTGATTCGCTGCAGTTAGGATGAGGGCTCCTTCACTCTTCTCCATATAACCAAATACACACTACCAGAAAAATGGAATATATGAAATGCAGTAAATAAAAACAAATGAAATAAAAAATGATAACCTAAGAAATGCATGCAAATCCTATTAGGATTTTATTCCTAAATGCTCATTCTACTTTTACTGTGGTTAGCTTTCTCTATTTTTTTTTAAAGGTCACTGAAGTCATTTCTTACAACTTTCAATTAAGAAAATGCCAGCAAATTTAGAAACCAAGTATAAATTATAGTTCATACAAAAAAAATCCTTTAAAAATATCAAAAGAGCAGCATAAAACTAAAATGAAACAGACACATTCTGAAACACCATGAAAAAAAATCAACATTAAAGTCCCAGGCAAATAAAAATGTTATCTATCTATCTATCTCTACACACACACACTTTACAGCGGACGCACGGGTTGCAAACGTGATCCGTGCGGGATGCATGTCTGCAACCCGCAGTGGCGTGCCTGTGCACGCGCGGGTTGCAATTTGGCGCTTCTGTGCATGCGCAAAGAACGATTTAGCGCTTCTGTGCATGCGCGGCTGCCAAAACCCGGAAGTAACCTGTTGCGGTACTTCCGGGTTTCGCCGGTCCGCAACCCAAAAAAAACGCAACCTGAAGCATCTGTAACCCAAGGTATGACTGTACGTATATTGTAACACTGATGCTATACTTATGATTTGTGAGCTGGAAATGACATCCTAAATAAACTTGTAACATAATAACATCGATTTCGGTTTCAACATAACTGACTCTGAATTAGGAACCTCTTAGTTCTTTCCACAGCAGGCAAATGAACAAAGCGAAGCAATTACAACAGGAGCAGGAGCAATTTATTCGAAGAAAAAGAAAAAGCCAGGGCAAACATGTCTGGTCATGACAGCTACATTTTGTGAAATGAATCTAAATTAAAAACTGAGATTTCTGACCAAGTCTGCATATTGCCCGCTTCCCAAAGCGAATCAGGGGGAAAAAAGTCATTTGAGACAAACACCAGCATCAGAGGTGGGAAGAGGTGAGCAATGGGCATTATATTACAAAACAACTCCAGAGCAGTTGCTCGTATGTCATTTACGTGGCATGGGAAGAGCTCAAACAACATTTCTGACCTTTCCTGATGAATGCAACATGTGGCTTGATGAAGCTGGTTCTAATAAGGTCGAATTAAACCCATTAGAACAAATTACTACAATTTGTTCACTCTCCTCCCTCTCCCCCAATCCTATTCAAACCCAGCTATTTGATGTTTTTCACGTCTGGCTGTATAGTTCTGGTCCAGATCAGGGAGCCCACTGAAGCGAGATACTCTGTCTGCTGTGAGATAATAAGCACATCCTTTGGGGGCTGCTGCGACCTAGTTAACGCTTGGCTAAGGGAAGCACTTAGGCCAATGGGTAACAAGATTTGTTTGCCCCGAGCGTCGCTTATACGGCAATTCAAAACTATGCTATGAATTGTTCATTTTCTGCTTCTTAAACGGATCAAGAAAGGACAAATCAAGTCATCTTTCAACGAGCACAATCCAACTGGTGTCTTATATTCGTAAAGGGTGACATGATTGCTATAAATGCGGGGGGGCTTATATGGTGCTCAAGGCACTTTTACCACTATGCAGCTTTAGAAGGAAATAATTGCAGTTCATGATACCCACGACAATAAGCATGAGACAGAACCGTTCCTGCCAGTCTCCTTAGAACGGCCAATGGGCTAAAATATGGGACTCAAGGGAACCAGGTGGCAAGCTGATCCCCTCTGTAAATCTAGGAGCATATTCTTGGAAATCGCTTGATTAGACAACATGCAAATAAATCTCGATTCTGCTATAAGAAGATTACTGCTGCAAGCATGGAGGGCAGCAGCATATCTAGCAGCAACTAGAACGCATCAATCTGAATGCAACATGTACTTTGGGGAAGCACCTATTTTCCATTTGCCAGTGGTGGGTGGCGCTGTGGGTAAAAGCCTCAGCGCCTAGGGCTTGCCGATCGAAAGGTCGGCGGTTCGAATCCCCGCGGTGGGGTGCGCTCCCGTCGTTCGGTCCCAGCGCCTGCCAACCTAGCAGTTCGAAAGCACCCCCGGGTGCAAGTAGATAAATAGGGACCGCTTACTGGCGGGAAGGGAAACGGCGTTTCCGTGTGCGGCTCTGGCTTGCCAGAGCAGCGATGTCACGCTGGCCACGTGACCCGGAAGTGTCTCTGGACAGCGCTGGCCCCCGGCCTCTTGAGTGAGATGGGCGCACAACCCCAGAGTCTGTCAAGACTGGCCCGTACGGGCAGGGGTACCTTTACCTTTACCGGTGAATCCCAGCAACTGTTTTCTGCAAGGGGACTAATAGTTTTTAACCGGTTCCCATCTTCTCACCCTGTCTCTCAGGGCTGGATTTGGGTTTGATGAGGCCCTAAGCTACTGAAGGTAATGGGGCCCTTTATATGTCCAGCTGTCCTTTGTCAACAACAAATCGTCACTGTTTTTGTGCTGAATATATGCTATATGGTAATTTATGGACCTAATAGGTATCTGAAGCCATTTGCACGTAACAAAATATGTATTTTATCAAAGTAATATTTATTTTATCTTATATTTTGGAAATGTACACCCAGTTTTCCCCCCCCTTTAAGTTTTTTAGGGGCCCCCAAGAGAGTGGGGCCCTAAACTATAGCTTGTTTAGCTTATACAGTGGTACCTCAGGTTAAGAACTTAATTCGTTCTGGAGGTCCGTTCTGAACCTGAAACTGTTCTTAACCTGAGGTACCACTTTAGCTAATGGGGCCTCCCGCTGCCGCCGCCATGCGATTTCTGTTCTCATCCTGAAGCAAAGTTCTTAACCTGAGGTACTATTTCTGGGTTAGCGGAGTCTGTAACCGGAAGCGTCTGTAACCCGAGGTACCACTGTACATAAATCCAGCACTGCTGTCACTTATACCTCGGGTTAAGTACTTAATTCGTTCCGGAAGGTCCGTTCTTAACCTGAAACTGTTCTTAACCTGAAGCACCACTTTAGCTAATGGGGCCTCCTGCTGCCGCCGCGCCACCGGAGCACGATTTCTGTTCTCATCCTGAAGCAAAGTTCTTACTATTTCTGGGTTAGCGGAGTCTGTAACCTGAAGCGTATGTAACCTGAAGCGTATGTAACCTGAGGTACCACTGTAACTGCATTTTAACCTAGACTAGGACCCTCTTTTGGGCTTGCAACACCAGCACCTCTAAGCAGAATGAGCGAAGCACCTCTTTCCTGATTTCCGTGCCTACAGAAAGCTGCAGATCAGAAGGAGCCTCACCCTCTTTCCTCTTCTTACCTCTTGTTCTTGTCCTCAATCTGCAAGATGTACAGCATGTCGTCGGCAGTGTGCTGCTTGGAGCTGCTCTCCCCCCACTTCAACTTCAGGCTCTGAGGACCAGCTGCAGTGCACTCTAGCCGAGGAGGTAAAGGGGGCAGAGGCCTGGTCTTGGCCTTAATCGAGTGGCTAAAAGGTCCCGCTCCGATGCCATTTACAGCCTGAACCCGGATCCTATGGTAGGAAAGCAGCAAAGCAAGGGGTACGGGATGGGGAGAGAGAAAAGGATTACGTTAAAAGCTGGTTTTGAGCCTATCGGTTTTCTTTCTGCCCCTCGCTTGATGCAGAGGAGGTGAAGTATAATGGCTTTATTGACACTGAAATGAGAATGTCTAAATGTGCTGGTCAAAAGGGTTAACATGGAGTGTGTCCCTCCCCCGGCCCCCATGGGGCTATATTAAAGTCAAGGAGCTCTTGCCAAGTTGATTAACTAACTAATGATGTATTTTTGCATTAAGTCAGGATGACAGAAACCGTTCTTTGAAAATATATGAGAGCAGGAGCAGATTTACTGGTAAATAAAACTAGCCAGTTGGCCATGGTGCAGATGAGGTTGGAGCAACAGAAACTTCCATGGTCTGCATCAGGGCTTATCAACCTCTTCCAAATAACAGGGACATTTCAAATTTTGAGGCGCTGCTGTGGGTACCATATATAAAAAGATAGATATATATATATAATCCAAGATGCTCCTCCCAAAATTAAACGAGTGTCACCAGCATAGATGGCAATCTCAATCTCTGAATTACGCAATCTCAGATAGAAAATTTTGAGGTACCATTACAGGGGAGTGAACTGTTAATTATCTGATTTGCATGTCTATCATGGGGCAAGCGATTTGGATTTTGCCGCAGGTAGCACAACGTTTTGGCTGTCTCTGCGCAAACAATTAATGCCATGATGCCGGAAAGGTCTAACCACTTTGGGGCACGAAATCAAATATTTTATCTTCATCAGACCCATTAACCAGCGGTTAACGTTATTTACGAGAACCCAATTGCCAAACTGCTCAGCCAGAACCAGCACCATCAATTTTCTGGCTGACTGATTTGGCCCAATGCTTTGCAAATTGGGAAATATAAAAACCAAAGTTGCTGGTGTAACTGATTAATTGCCCAGTTGGACAATTTCCTTCTTTAAATAACACAAGAAGGACCGTCTCACACAGAAAAGCTGCATGTCTTTTTGCAATGACAAGGTCATACTGCTTTCCAAATAATTTTAAACAGGCCATTACTTGTGTGGGACTAACTCAAAAACTATGGACTGAGTTTGCTTCTTTCAGACATGCCCTATTTAAGATTTAGCACCATTTGTGAGGTTTAACATGACATGAATTGTTGTTGTTGGTTAATTAGAAAAAGGAAGTACAAGCCTCAAAATCATCCTTACAGTCACACTGGAAGAGACAAGAGCCCAAAGTATGCCTGAATTTGTTCTTGTCATGATAAACCATGGTTTATCACGACATGCAAATATAGCTACCAACTTATTTTTTCTGAACCAGGCAAAAACTGCTTTACTTCAAGAGCCTTTAAAAGAGCAGTTTAAACCATGATTTGCATCGTAACTGCTGTTTTAGCTTTTTACATTGTCTTTGTGGTGGTTTTGTGATGTGTCCTGGGAAACGTATTTGAAGGATGGGGCAGAAATTATCAAATAAACAAATGAATTAAAAGCACACTGAGTAAATTATTGTAAAATGGTAAGTGCAGAGCAAATTATGGGCGATATCCAATTATATTCAGAGTCGACTCACTGAAATCGATGGATGGACTTTCAATGAGTCTACTATGAGTATAACTAATCTTGAATGAACCTGGTGCCAAATGTATTGCTCTGCTTTCCTCTGGCCCACTTCAATGATGCCAAGGGGGGGGGGTCTTGTCGTCTGGGCAGCCTGGGACCTCCATACATTCTGCCTGGGCTTGCACCCCAAAGAGGTCACTTTGGTGCCGCAAATGCAGCAAAAACAACAAGGGAAGCAGCAGTCGCAAAGATGCAAGAAGAAAGCATAATGTCGCTTTGAAATATGAAGCAGTATAAAAATTACGTAGGTGATCATAAGAATGATGGAGAAGGAGCGGAAGTTGCTGCTGCGGCTACAAAGACAAGCAACACAGAACAATTTTTCAGCATCCTTTGCCAAATGTTACATTCGCGATTTAAAATGACATCCTCTATGATTTGCAATGGAGCACCCAAGGTTTGGTGTTGAGTCATCATTCCTTGAAGGACACCGGCAGCTCTCTACTGGACTTGCAAACGTAAAGCTGATGGAGAACATTAAAAAGATACAAATGTCCTGTCCTGGGTCATTGCTTCTGTCTGGACAATAATCTCTTACGTTTCTCACCAGGCAGATCAAGTGCAGTAGTCTTTTCAATCAGAATACCTAGTTAATGCTTTTAAGTTTGTTGTTCATTTGATACGAAAGAAACAAGCGGATTCCTTAAAAATAGCAGTGGGTTTTATTTAAGAAGTGTATGTTGCTGTATGAAACCTAGAGGATTTAAAGGGAGGAAAACATTTCAAAGAAAACAATTTTTTGAAAAAGAATTTGGAGGATGACCTCATCATTGCTATTCGCCTACAGAATGTAAGGCAGAAAGTTTTAAAGATGAGCATCATGGAAGAGGGCTGTGTATGTACTGCTTGCGCCATTAATCGCCCAAATCCTGGAGCAAGACATGGCCAGTCCAGCATAGTAAGTTTCATGGACTGGCTGGACACAGAGGAGTGAAGGGAGGCATGAGCTGGGGAAGAAAGGCTCCGAGCCAGGGGACTGGTGGTGGGACGATGATGAGTGGTCAGAGGGAGAAGAGGGAGCAGACTGGGGGGAGAAGGTGTCAGAAGTTGAAGAGGCAACAGGGTTTAGTGAGCAGGAGGAGGCTGTGGCAGAGAGAAGTCCAGAATCAGAGGCAGATGTGGAGGCTGGAGAGGAGGGGGCCCAAGAGGCAGAGCAGAGGCAGGCTGCTGAAGAAGAAGAAGAAGAAGAAGAAGAAGAAGAAGAAGAAGAAGAAGAAGAAGAGTTTGGATTTGATATCCCGCTTTATCACTACCCGAAGGAGTCTCAAAGCGGCTAACATTCTCCTTTCCCTTCCTCCCCCACAACAAACATTCTGTTAGGTGAGTGGGGCTGAGAGACTTCAGAGAAGTGTGACTGGCCCAAGGTCACCCAGCAGCTGCATGTGGAGCAGCAGGGAATCAAACCCAGTTCACCAGATTACGAGTCTACCGCTCTTAACCACTACACTGGCTCTCCAGGGGGTCTGTTCCCTGATGGTCTCCCAGAACCAAAAGAGGCCAGAAGAGGGCGGAGCAGGGACGGACAAGGGACAAAGTCTCAGGCTGCTTGAGAAGGACTCAGGAAAGGAGGAGACTCTGAGATCTTCAGTCCCCACGATCACTTCATAGGAGCAAGAGTTGTTGTGCTCACTAGGCCTGAGCTGTTTTATTTCTTTGAATAAAGAGTTAATTTCACTGGCACCTTGAGAGTTACCGCTGACCCATCTTCAGGAGCGATTTTTTCATAAGAATATTAAGAGGCTTGCTGGACAAAGGCTCATTTAGTCTAGCATCTCCCCCCCCAGATTTCTTTGCACCTTGTAATCTCTGTGATAAATGCTTAACACAACCCTTCTTTTCGGCATACAGCTGCCATTCTCTTGAGTGGGTGTTGTGTAGCAGTAGCCACAGATGGGCAATGCCCCAAGTCTGGTCCTGTTTGCAGGCTTCCCGTGGGAATCTGGTTGGCCACTGTGAGGACAGCATGCTGGACTAGATGGGTCATTGGCCCGGTCTTCTTATGTTCTTATGAATGACATTGGGTAAACAATTCCCCTAAGCCTCCGTTCCCAGTTTTATGGGGCTGATACTAATGGTCCACTAATGGTCATGAAGCACCCTGGAAGCACCTAACAGGCAATAACTAATAATAAAATTCAGTGTGCATTTCCCTGTCCCTTGCCATTATTAGAGATAATTTGGATTGAAGAGCCATTAGAAAGAGGCCCGAGGATGGGGTAGCTTTGAGCAATCTTAGAATTAACATTCGCCGTCCGACCTTTTACCGACATTCATTCCTAAATTAAAATAATTTCTCAGAAGTCCACAGGGGAAGAAAAAAGAAGAATCATCATAATAATTATCAGCTAAGCCACTTATTTATCCACAAAGATACATTAACAGAGCTAATATGCACACTTAATAATCACTGCCCAAAATCTGAAAAATGAGCACACTGCACCGTGAAGCAAAACCTTTAATTGTTCCCCATATTTAGGATGTACGTTATAATTAGTTCAATCTGTTCTCATTTGCACTGCAATGCTAGAACAGCTATCATAGTTTCCAAACATCTAAAGACCAAAAAGAAGGTCAAAACCCTGAGTGAATGATGACAGTAAACAGATCGGCCCAGGGCTCCATGAAGCGTTCCCACAATCTGAAGCATGAGTAGCTACAAGTGAGAGCGCCTTGTGGGCAATGCTACCCCCAGGTGGGAGATGCTCTCCAGGTTGTCTATCCCTGTCCTGCAAGCTCTCTCTGTGTGTCTGTGTGTTTGTTGTGCCTGTCAATCACTTGACGGAACAATGATTTTGCTATGTTATATTGTTTGGATTGTTTGGTTGTTTTGAGTGTATGTTTGTTGTGTTGCATTAATATGTTGTTCATTGCTCTGGGGGATGTTCAGATCAAAAGGTTTTGCATAAATAAGCAGTGACATAATACAACACAACACAACACAACACAAGGGGGAAGCAGCAATGAGTGTGCTTTTTAAAAATGTTGTGTTATGCCATGCTCCCATGGCAGCCATCTTGTGTTATCCCATGTCCCCTCTGGAAGCCATTTTGCGACTGGCACCCAACAACAGCACTTTTTCAAAATGCGCCCACCGGACCAAAAAAAAAACGGCTGCAGTTTTAAACTCGCACTTACCGGAATGTGGTTTCTGGAAGCAGGTCGCTAACGACGTAGCTTGTGACGTTCCCCACCGGGATAATAACATCGCCGAGGTCGACGTTGTAAGAAATAATCTCAGAACCATTATTGCACGGTTCTTCCCAGTTCAATACAAGGCACACAAAGGGTGAAATTGGAGAGGAATCCAAGTGCTCATCATCGGATACGCAGAGAGTGGTCACAGCATCAGGGACTGACGCTGGGGCTGTACAGGTCACCAGGTCACTGTAAGGTCCTGCTCCTGCCTGGTTTATTGCCTGCGGAGTAGAACATTCATGGCATTACATCACGTGCTCATCACACCCAAGGCCTCTCGGGGCATGGAGATATAGAAGACTGGAGTTACAAAGTCAAATTCACCCGAGACTGGGAGGTCATAATTGCTCACACGACTGGGAGGTCACAATATTCCCATCTGTAAAATATTGGAAGTGAAGCCTTATGTTGCCTGTGGGGGGGAAATAATATGAAGGCTAGAGTGCTGAACAAAACAAAAGGTGGAACATGGGCTGACACCAGTCCGCTTATACACAGTTAATTGTTCAATGCAGACCAGCAAACAAATACGGACCCCATGACCTGGAGAGTTGTGCCTATGCTATATAATAATGCTCTCGTTTTTAGACAACTATCACAGCAATATAAGCATTGTGTATAGTGAAAAGCAGCATTAATTACTAGCTCCTCTTGATTGCATTTAATGTTGAAAATCATGACATATATTTTTTAGAAGTTTACTTGCGTTGTTGTGTTTCTTTTACTATATAATGAATGGATTCATGGCTTGTAAAATGCTGGCTTTCATGAAAAAGCAGCTCTTGCACAGAACATTTCAAACATAAAAATCTGAGAGAATGGAAAAGAGATCTCATGTAAAAGATTGTTGACTTTATGCTACTCTTCAAAAATAATAATGAATGTGTACAATTGAATGAACTCTTCCATGCTGGGTATAAGTGGCTTTGTATATATTTTATATTTTCAATAAAGATTACTCCAGTATTCTAAGTTGCATTAAAACCAACAAACAAACAAAACTATCTTCCCCATTTCAATCTTCTGAGCCAACGGCTTGGATTGCAGGACAAGCCAAATCGTGGCTTAGCAGGACTGAGTAAATGTGTGAGCCTGGGGGGCTTCTGCCGCCTGAAGCAGCAGCCTTACCCTGCCTAATGGCTGGGCCGGCTCTGGTCTCGATGTCCTCACAGACTGCAATTATCCATAGAATTAAAGCTTGTAGTATTTGGAACTAAAGTTCCATATTGATTCTACCTAGATCCTAACTTGTTCGCAAAAAACCCCACATTATTTCACACTCGCGTAAAGAAGAAAGGAGGTACCTCCCGGCAGCAACGTAAAGCAAGCCCTCTTCACGATCTAGCCGTCTTATCCTAAAGTTAAGCGTCTCGATTTACCTGTAGCCTACAGAAATAGTGTGCTGCGGCTGATAACTGGCTGATTTCAAAGGAGTTGCCTGTGCCACTGTACACGAGTTCTAAGGACTCTGCGTCTTCTCCCCACTCCAGTCTGTATTCTGAGATGTCAGCACCAAAGCTCTCGGGACTCTGAAACACAAACACAAACCTGTTGGGTCATATCTGAGCCTAAAATGGCCTTACACAGGTTGACAGGAAGGCAAGTGCTAACAACAACAACAACAACAGAGATCATTTAAATTGTGCCTGGGTGTGTGGCTGAGGAGGGGCTGAGAGTCTCAAGAATGGAGGTCCAGCCTGATTTAAAACTATTTTCTTAGCACTGGCGGTCTCCAGCAGTGCTGTTCCAGCTGCGTTTCAGTGCAGATTTCTAAAATCAGGAATGAGCGGAATTCCACTGAGAGGAAATCAGCAGGAAGCCGAGACCTAATCAAGATATGAAATGCTTTGGAACAGAAAGTTAAGACATCCAGAATTGTTTCTGGGAGTGGGGGGTGGGCAGGCTAGGTTCTCAGTCTGCTTTGGGTTTCTAAGGGTAAAGGTAAAGGGCCCCCTGACCGTTAGGTCCAGTCACAAACAACTCTGGGGTTGTGGCGCTCATCTCGCTTTATTGGCCGAGGGAGCCAGCGTACAGCTTCCGCATCATGTGGCCAGTATGACTAAGCTGCTTCTGGCGAACCAGAGCAGCGCACACCGTTTACCTTCCCGCCGGAGTGGTACCTATTTATCTACTTGCACATTTCGGCGTGTTTTCGAACTGCTAGGTTGGCAGGAGCAGGGACCGAGCAACGGGAGCTCACCCCATCGCGGGGATTTGAACTGCTGACCTTCTGATCGGCAAGTCCTAGGCTCTGTGGATTAACCCACAGCGCCACCCGCGTCCCAATTCTAAAGGAAAGGGAGGGTTAAATAGTGATTCTGCAAAAACAAGAACGGCCCTTAGGAGTTGGCTCTTATGGAGGAAGGTGGGCGAGGCAAACCTCAGGCCCTTTTGGCCTCAGCCAAGGAGAAAGGGGTTATTCTTACACATCTGGGTCACATTGCCAGGCAGAGACGCTGAGGACGACGTGATACAAAAAGGGGTTAAGGAGACAGACAAAACTCCAGCCAGGGATTCTACAATCACACATTTAGGCTTTCGGAATAGTGGTTTAAGATTCAGTCTGCTAAATTATTGTTTTCTCGAGGAATGAAAGGCTACAGATTGTGATCATCACACAACCCGCACTCATTTATTTCAAACTTTCAAACTCTGCATACTTCCAATGAAAATGTAGCAGTTGACCTTTTGCAGCCTTACGAGTCGTTTTCGACAGCGTAAAAACCTTCATCGCCCTTCGTACACAGGGGAAAGCCTTGACAATTCACCTGTGACTTTCTGGTAGATCTACAGAGATAACAGAACTGTAGATGCACCTGCCAGATTAAATTGCCTTTAAACAAATGCTATCACTTTGAAGCAGTGGCATTTAAAGCTCATTTAACATTTTCTTCAGTACACACCTGAAATAATAAAGGTGTGTGTGTGTGTTCCATGATGCCACTTTTTAAAGACTTCTGTGCTAAAATGTACACGGGCTGTGCTCTGGAACGTAAACTATGGTCCACGAGTCAGCATGCTTAAGTGGATCGAGTCAGGTATACACACTATTCTTTTAAAGCACATTTGAAACAGATCCTCAAAATGCTCTGGGAACTGTAGTTCACTTCTCACAGAGTTACAATTCCCAACACCCAAACTACAGTGCCCAAAATTATTTGAGGCAGGGAGGGAATTTTCCATAAAGTTAATAGTGTGTTTGCAGCCAACAGACTAGGACTCAACTCTCCACTCAGCCATGAAGCTCTTTGAGTGGCCTTGGGCTACTCACTTTTTCTCAGCCTAACCTCCAACAGGGTTGGAGTGAGGATAAAGGGGAAGAAAACCAGGTTGAGCTCCATGGAGGAGATATACAGAGACAGGTGACATGATTGAATCCTGCTGCTTCAGCTAGGCGTTTCTGAGAGAAAATGGAGCCCAATTTAAAAAGCACCAAAATTTGAACGGCAGCTGCAAAAGTGGCAGAATCCTTTAAAAAAAAGGCCAGAAAGGATGATAGGAGACCACCCCCCTATCTGGGACGGGGCCACAACTCAATGGTAAAAACATAAACTTTGCATGGAATTTCTAGTCAAAAGAATCAGGCAGCAGGTGAAGGGCTGTCTGAGACCCTGGAGCTGCAGGTGGGGGGTGCTATTTTTGATAGCATCTGTTACATTAAAGTGAATACTCACTGCTGCAATTAAGGAACCAGCAAAGGAGGGAGAAATTTCTAGTATGGTTCTCTACGTTCTGTGTAAAGTTTTCCATTTGCAGTTTTTATTTTCAATGGCAAGGGAGCATTCAAAACGTCGTTCACCCACCGTGGTGTGATTGATTCTGTCGTATCGTGATTCTACCAACTTGTTTTGCTGCAGAAGCAGACTCTTGTTTCTTTAAGGGCTTATGCACACTTACCTTTCCTCTGTTCTTTCCATGCACAGTCCATGCTTTTAAAGCGCTTTGTCTGAGTGGCTCCGTGTTTGTTTGTTTTTTGCTCTGGAGCTTTCCCCCACGAAAACCAGCTCTTTAAAGCTCAATCGGAGCAAACAGCAATCTGCAGAAAACTCGAATTCACGTTTGCTCCGATTGAGCGCTAAAGAGTGGCTTTACATGGGGGAAGCTCAGGGTCAAAAACATCAGCAGCAACAACACCCAAAGAGTGTGGACCTGTGCCTGGAAAGGTTAAGTGTGGATAAGCCCTAAGTGGGGGCTGCGAACTGAAAATTACGGCACTTAAAAAGCGCTCCTCTTACCTCCCAGCTAACAAGTACACTTGTATCAGAAATGAAGGCAAGGGAAGGTGGTCTGCACTGCCCGGGGGGCCCAGCAGCGGTTGTGATTATTGTGGCTTCGGAATACGTCCCATACTAAAGGAAGGAAAATAAAACATATATATAATTACAGAATATAAACCGCACATACTATTTGTCAGTATGTTTAAATGAAGGATCTTGATGGACATTTCTCTTCATTTTCCTCCCCACACTTCAAAAGCCGTATCCATGCAGCAAACAACCTCTTGGCCCAATAAGAGGATTTCTTCCCCTCCTGGCCAAAGTTAAGTCCCCAGTCCTTCACAGCAAGTGCCTCAGAATTGCTAGCGAACCCTCCTTCTCCACAGATATAATGCTCTTGAACATTCAGTGTAGAATCCCAGAAGCCTAGCCTATGGCCAAGGAAAGAAACTAGCTTGTAGCCTGTTGCGTAAGATATTATGGGTTGTACTCAACCAAGTCACACTCAGGGTAGGCCCACTGAAACTGGCCTTGACTATTGATGCCAATAAGCCTACTCTTGAGTATGGCTTTGTGGTGTACAACCCTACATTCGAACACTGAGGAAAAGTACCAGGGAGACATGGGTCATACCCATACCATCTGTTTAAACTTTCGCCTGGTGCCTAAAGATGTCTAATGCAGGCGTTAGACAAATCTCCCTGGGGCGAGTCTTCCACAAACAGGGAGCCACTGCAGAAAAGGCCCATTCTCGTGTGTCCCCCCCCCTTCCAGACGTCTGGTGTAAGAAGCACACAAAGAAGGGCCTCAGATGGTTATTGCAGGGTCTAGGTCAGAGACTTTGGACTGGTCAGTACCTCTCAGCCTGACCTTCCTCACACAGAGTTGTTGTAAGGATAAAAAAGGGAAGGGCATATTAAGCTCCTTGAAGATAGGCCATGCAATGTAATAAATAAATAGAAATATTGTTGTAAGAATGAAAAGGGAGGGAACACATTAAACTCCTTGAAGGTAGGCCATGTAATGTATACCTGAAGGAGCATCTCCACCTCCATCATTCTGCCCGGACACTGAGGTCCAGCTCCGAGGGCCTTCTGGCAGTTCCCTCGCTGCGAGAAGCCAAGTTACAGGGAACCAGGCAGAGGGCCTTCTCGGCAGTGGCACCCGCCCTGTGGAACGCCCTCCCACCAGGTGTCAAAGAGAAAAATAACTACCAAACTTTTAGAAGACATCTGAAGGCAGCCCTGTTTAGGGAAGCTTTTAATGTTTAATAGGTTATTGTATTTTAGTGTTCTGTTGGAAGCCGCCCAGAGTGGCTGGGGGGACCCAGCCAGATGGGTGCGGTATAAATAATAAATTATTATTATTATTATTATTATTATTATTATTATTATTATTATTTAGGAATATTGTCACAAGGTCCTGATCAGAGCTGCAATTTCAACCCAATGGTTTCCCCAAGGACCCCTACGCTTAGGCTTACCCCTCCGTCATTCAGGGCCCTCACTCTGAAGTGATAGCTTGTCCCAGGCAGGAGATCGCCAACCGTGCACTCGAGACCCAGACCGTGATACACCTCCGATGTCGCCTCTTCGGGGCCAGTCATTTCTACACCGTATGCCGAGATGTGACAACTGCTGTCTGACACAGGAGGAGCATCTGAATAATAATAATAAAGACATTATAATAATTACTATATTCTTAACATTTATTCATCGCCTGTCCTTCACCCTAAGGTCCCAGGTCACGTCACAACAGTAAAACACAACAAGGAAAATGGTTTTAAACAACTTACAACCATAAAAATAAGGTGGGTCCTAAAATAATAGTGTCAAAAGCCTCAGGGTAAAGAAGGGGATCCTCCAGAAGCTGTATTAAGTTGGTGTGTGGGGTGTTTTTTTGGCCAAATAATATTTATTAGTTTTCTAATTTTTAAACAAATCAATGCCAAATTACATCAAATTTAATAACCCCCCCAAAAAAAGTTGACTTCCCACTCTTTGTCCAAGATGCGTCCTTACTTCCCCCATTGCTGCTTGATATAACACATATCATTTTTATTTATTTTTTTATGCTTTTTTATGCTTTTCCGGAATGAATTAATTACTTAACCTGAGGTACCACTGTACTTAATTCGTTCCGGAGGTCCGTTCTTAACCTGAAACTGTTCTTAACCTGAAGCACCACTTTAGCTAATGCTGCCACTGTGCCGCCGGAGCACAATTTCTATTCTCATCCTGAAGCAAAGTTCTTAACCCGAGGTAATATTTCTGAGTTAGCGAAGTCTGTAACTCGAAGCATATGTAACCTGAAGCATATGTAACCCGAGGTACCACTGTACTAAAATCTCCATTTCCTATGGAAACCCTTTAGACATCTAACACTAATCATTTACAATATAGTAATCCTATATATTATTATGAGAGATGCGGGTGGCGCTGTGGCCTAAACCACAGAGCCTATAGCTTGCCAATCAGAAGGTCGGCGGTTCAAATCCCTGCGACGGGGTGAGCTCCCATTGCTCGGTCCCTGCTCCTGCCAACCTAGCAGTTCGAAACCACGTCAAAGTGCAAGTAGATACATAGGTACCGCTCCGGCGGCAAGGTAAATGGCATTTCTGTGCGCTGCCCTGGTTTGCCAGAAGCTCCTTAGTCATACTGGCCACATTACCCAGAAAAACTGTCTGCGGACAAACGCCAGCTCCCTCAGCCAGTAAAGTGAGATGAGCACCGCAACCCCAGAGTTGTCCGCGACTGGACTTAACAGCCAGGGGCCTCTTTACCTTTATATATTATTATATCCGCCCCCCCACCCCGTATGCCACCTCCGGCTGGGAAAAAGCTGCAGTATAAAACCCCAAAGAGGTGCTGCCGGTAGAGTCGACAATACTGAGCTAGATGGACTTTTATTTACTGTAGTTGCAGGTACCTTTTTAACAAACGAAACGAAACTGTACTGTTGGCACAGGAGAAAACCAATTACGAAAGCAAGCTCCTCTTTCCAGCTTACCCCATTGCAGCTGCACTTCCTTATGCTTTGGTTTGCCAAGTACTCTGGGTGGCTGACACTGGCCTGGAGCGATGCTTAGTGTACGGACAAGTAAACTTTCAGAACACTGGGAAAAGAAGCAATGGGAGTTAGATTGAAGCCCCATCTGGGCAGTCACTTCACACAGTGGAGGGAGAGGGGGTGGATACCAGCCTGCCATCCGCCTATGGTGATTGTGTGCACAGGAAATGTCCGTGGGGTGGGTGGGGGAGCCTTTGACACGTGGCACAGAGCCCAAAAGCACATGAGGGCCATCCCCTTGCTGAAGCTAAGCAGGTCTGAATCTCATCAGTGCCTGGATGAGTGGGGCAGCACAAGCAAAGCTGCCTTGGGTTCCACAATGGAAGAAAGGCAGAATCATAAATCCAAATAAATAAATACAGTGGTACCTTGGTCCTCGAACGGCTTAGTTGTCGAACAAATCGGCTCCCAAATGCCAAAATCCGGAAGTGTTCCAGTTTTCAAACGTTTTTTGGAAGCCGAAACGTTTTTTGGAGGCACGGCTTCTGCAGCCAACCAGAAGTCACGCCTTGGTTTTCGAATGGTTTCGGGAGTCGAACGGACTTCCGGAACGGATTAAGTTCGAGAACCAAGGTACCACTGTAATTTTAAAAAAATGTGCACGGGCTTTCCCAGTGATGTGGAGCACTGCATGCAGAGAAGGCTGCTCTTTCCAGGTGTTCCTCCGCAACAGACTGTGTGGGCAGGTGAGTGAATCTGGCAGGGACAGGGGCAAGCGAGAACAGTTCCATTCTACCACTCTGTACAATGGTTCCTCACATGAAGCGAATCCCCGGATAAGGCTTTTACTGACTTTGCTAACTTAATTGCCTGCGGATAACTGCCCTTGTTTTTCTTTGGAAAAACCACTTTCCCCACCCAGGATGTGCACAAAAGTCGTCAGGCAATTGCAGATTCTCAGTGCAGTTGTACTTTGGATCTCAAACGCCGTGGCTCCTGAACAAATCAGCTCCCGAACGATCGAAACCCGGAAGTGAGTGTTCTGGTTTTCGAATGATTTTCTGAAGCCGAACGTCCTGCGTGACTTCTGATTGGCTGCTCCTGCAGCTAACTGGAAGAGGCGCCTGGTTTTTGAACGGTTCCAGGAGTCAAACGGACTCCTGGAGCGCATTCAGTTCGAGAACCAAGGTACGACGACACACACTTTTGCAGTTTTCGGGTTTTGTGCAAATCTGACAGATCAAAAGGCTATGCCAGTGGTTCTCGAAGGTGTGCCACATTGGTGTGGCAGGAGAGGATGGCAAGATTCAAGGACAATTAATATACCATTTTGGTATAATATAAAAATAATAGTTTTATACTTTCTGGATGTCCCATTGCCATGTTATAAAGAAGTTGTGTTCTATGTTAAAAATCAAGCACTGCTAGGAGTTATTTCTGTTTGTTTTCCAATGCATTTCTTTATCAATAAAAAATTCGCATGGCGTGGCTCAGAGAAAAGAGTTTGAGAACCACTGGACGATGCACTCAAAATAGTTATATGAGCACAGTCAGGAAAAATAAAAACGAAGGGATTGAGTGGCATGGAAAAGAGGACCGATCCACGTACCTCAGGACACTGAAACCAATAGTCTGCGACCCTAAGTGGAGTTTATTAGCTTCCCCAGCTAAAAAGATGATCTCCCTATCGGGTAAACCTGAATCTACAGGGCAAAAGCATAGAGACTGGTGTTCTTTGACAGTAACGTCACATGAATTGCAAATGAAATGGAGAATGTACACAGCTGCAAGCTGTGTGGGGAATCCCTTGATAGCCTTAGGTCTTGAACTCACAATGGCGCATTAAGAAGATGCAACCACACACACACACGTATTTTGTGCGCACATATAAATAAAGACTGATCTGCGCTCTCCTAACTTGTGAGGCACCTTCCGAACCTTGAATAAAAATATACAAAGCACTAGCCTGATATCTCAACCAGTGCTTAGAACAAGGTATGTAGCGGGTGGGGTGAGATGGGGCGAAATAAAAGAGAATCTCCCCCCCCCCACTTCCCCGTAATTAAGAACTCAAGGAAAGCTTTTAGGTGAATGGCAGCAGGGCTGGGAGAAGAGGGACTTTTCGCTGTTAAGCGATACTTACCTGACTGTGTCCACCAGTGCTAATACAGCATGCCCGGAGCTTATACAAAGTCCCTGGTTTCAAGTAAGTACACGGACATTCTGTAGCCGATCCTCTGTAAGCCACTTCCCATTGATTTGCTGAAAGGTTAATTGGGCTCGCTCAGGTAACTGATAAACAATTACTATAGGGCTAAGGTACTATTTAGATTTCATTAAGCCACAGGCCTTCCAGTAATTAATAGAAACGGTTGCTTTATGGGGAGAAGTGGCCTATAGATTTAAACAAAAAAAAACAACGAACAAGGCTCATTTACCTGCTGAAAAGGCTTCCTTAAAGTGGTTCTCCATTAAAAAAGTACAGGTGGTCATTTTGCTTTGCTGGCTTTGTATCTGCCTTGTACAGAAGCCTCCATTCAAAGTTTTGTGACAGGCAGAACAAAAACCGAAGGTTAAAATACAGGGTTATTCTCTTCTAAAAAGTAACTATTTACGGCATCATATGAAAAAAAATCATAAGACACAATTTAAAATTTATTAACTATGGTTTGTTTGTTTTTTTAAGTTAATTTGCCAGATATCCAATTAGCAATATACAGTGAGAAACCACTAAGTTAAATCAGAAAAAAAAATGTCATTCGCTGTTCACTTCAGAAATATAAAAATATAATAAATAAAAATGATATCAACAGCAAGAACACATCTCATACTTCCTGTTCCTTAGGCAATGGAAAATAAATCCACAATTAAAAAAATCCTGTTTGGGCGATAATCCAAATGAAATAGTTTGATGAAATCTAAATATATTTGATATACAACCTCATTGGGATAATTATTATAACACTGATCTCATTCTGTTGACATTCAATGATGTTTTCTTGCAATAGTTCAACTTACCTTCAGAGCTTCCTTCTGAAATTTCTAACAGGTAATTTAGGATTTCTGAACCACCATTATCCTGAGGAGGGTCTGTTAAACAAGAAAAAAAATCTTGTTACAGACGCTACAGAAGAGGGCAGGCACGAATTCTTCACAGGTGACTAGTAGATTCAGAATCAATTCTTTTTGACATGTTGGATGCACTGTACAGTGCAAAGATCACCCACCAGACCCCATCTTAAATACCACCCAGCAGCCAAAGACACTGGAATGAACCCAGCAAGTTGTGGGTTGCTACAGCTGAGAAGAATTGATGCTTTTGAATTATGGCGCTGGAGGAGACTCTTGAGAGTCCCATGGACTGCAAGAAGATCAAACCTATCTATTCTTAAGGAAATCAGCCCTGAGTGCTCACTGGAAGGACAGATCGTGAAGCTGAGGCTCCAGTACTTTGGCCACCTCATGAGAAGAGAAGACTCCCTGGAAAAGACCCTGATGTTGGGAAAGATGGAGGGCACAAGGAGAAGGGGACGGCAGAGGACGAGATGGTTGGACAGTGTTCTCGAAGATACAAACGTGAGTTTGACCAAACTGCGGGAGGCAGTGAAAGACAGGAGTGCCGGGTGTGCTCTGGTCCATGGGGTCACGAAGAGTCGGACATGACTAAACGACTAAACAACAACAACAACAACAGCTGAGCAACTGTAGGAACTCCCAGTTGCACTGGCTTATTCTCGGCTGATGCTGACTTGATGGGAATCAAGGACATATATGTGCAATTCTTTACTCTTTCCACTCCCAACCAGGCAGCTACCGATTCCACAATTTAAGGATGCGAGATGACGAAAGCCCAGTAATACGCAAGAGGCACCTTACCCCATTTGACGCTGAAGCCTTGAGATGTGATTGGCCCTTTCACGGCGGGTTTGGTGGGAGGCCCCGGCCGGTCAGGGCTTGTTGTACAGACCAAGACGTCGCTGGGACTGCTCTTCCCTTCTACGTTGGAGGCAATGAGCTGCAAGAAAACGGACGTGGTTATCTCTGTATTCCAAATTATAAGCTGCCTTGTGCAAGAGACCCAAAAGAAATCACTTGAGAAAGTAAAATATGGGTGGCACCTCAGCTAAGTTTTGCTCAAAGCAAAACCCACTGAAATCAATGAACCTCATTCATTTCAGTGGGTCTACTCGAGTACAACCGAGCCGACTAGTCTACGGATGCATTTTAGAGTCTCAGAGGCCACCCAACTAATAATAATAATAAAATTCACATATTTCTGTATGCAACAACGGCAGTGAGAATGTTGGTAGCCACTCACTGGAAAGGAAATTATATTCCAACAAAGGGGGGATGGTTAAGTAAACTTTGTGAGTACCTGGAGTTAGCAAAATTGACGAATTTAATAAGGCATAACTCAAAAATTTTAATTCAGAAACAATGGAAATGTTTAAATGATTTGTTTATACAAGCAGGGCTCAAATACGAAAATTTGGCTGTGTCTAGACTAACCTTGTGAAGAATACAGAGAACATAAAGATTTGATTGATTATGAAAGAATCTAAGGAAGCAAAATGATTGAAGAACAGATGTATAAATGTGAGTAAGACAACTAAGAGAAGTGTGGTGAATGCGGTCGAAGTCTTTTATAATATTTTAACTCAGATTTATATATTGCAGTATTTGGTAATAATTCAGGTTATGAAAAGTATTTTTTCTTTTCTTTTGTCTTTTATCTTTATATCTTCTATTCTTTCTTATCTTTTTTATTAGTATTCATTTTGGAAAGTGTGTTTACAGTGTTACGTATTGTTCTTTGTTTTTCTTTGTTTAATTTCTATTTCTTGAAAAATTTAATAGTTATTTTTAATATAAATAAATTAATAATAATAATAATAATAATAATAATAATAATAATGTATTATTTATACCCCACCCATCTGGCTGGGCTTCCCCACACACTTAGCAAGCATTTCCCATACCAGGATCTGAAAGACGTTGGGCGCAAACCACCCTAAGTTATTTGTACTGGGGCTGTATCAAATGTTAGTCCTACTCAGAGAAAAACCATTAAAAACAATGGCTCTTACTCCACTAATGGCCCATTAATTTCAGTGGGTCTACTCTGAATGTCAGTTAGTTGAATACAACCCACTGAAGCGAACAGAACCTTCTTGGAATTAAGTCTGAATGAAATTAGTCATATTTATTTCCGAGTCACTTAATTTCTCTTACTGTGACTTTAAGGAAGAATGGGAGCTTTTTACAAATTATCTATAAAAGACAACAAAAGGAACTGGACTCTGTGGCAGGTTTTGAATGAACATACACAAATTTATTGGTTGATAACATGGTAGATAGATAATGTAAGGATATGTATAATATTATAACATGCAGAGAATAATATGTGTTGAGAAATCAGAGAGAGGAGCTGAGGGAAGTCTTTGGGGGCGGTTTGATAGGGGGAGAAAGGGGGGGAAATAATGAATATGATATGTTTTGATATTTTGTTATGTTGAAATTGCTAATAAAAACATTTTAAAAAAGAACTTAATTCGTTCTGGAGGTCCGTTCTTAACCTGAAACTGTTCTTAACCAGAGGTACCACTTTAGCTAATGGGGCCTCATGCTGGTGCCGCCGTGCGATTTCTGTTCTCAACCTGAAGCGTCTGTATAACAACTATTATCACCACCACGACCATTTTATTTATACCCCACCGACCTGGCTGGGTTTCCCCAGCCACTCTGGGTGGCTTACAGAACATATAGTATTTTTCGCCCCATAGGGCGCACCGGCCCATAGGGCGCACCTAGTTTTTTTGGGGGGGAATAAAGAAAAAAATTTTATTCCCCCCCCAGGCGCAGGGCTGGGGTGAGGGAAACTAGAGCTTCCCCAGCCCCCAGAACAGGCTGCTCTCCGCAAGCTGTGGGAGCCCTCCCGCGGCTTGCGCAGAGCTACGCGAAGCCCGGGTGCGACTGCTCAGCGCGCCCGGGCTTCGGGATAGAGGCAGCTCTGCACAAGCCGTGGGAGCCCGGCGGGAACTCCCGTGGGCTCCCAAGGCTTGGGGATAGCTTCCTGAAGCCTGCATTCGCCCCATAGGACGCACACACATTTCCTTTTCATTTTTGGAGGGGAAAAAGTGCGTCCTATAGGGCGAAAAATACGGTATATAACATAATAAAGCACCAAACACTTAAAGCTTCCTGATACAGGGCTGCCTGGTTGATTTTCGGGGGATAATAATGGAAAATGGGTGTGAGGAGCCCTTCACACACTTCAACTACTTTTTCATCTTTTTCCCACTTGTAAATTTTCTATCACAAAACTGAGCAGTTGTAAACAGCACAACAACAAATTCCTTCCTCAGCGCTGGGTTCAAAGGTTTCCGAAAGAACATAGAAACCTGCCAATTTTGTTTGCTAGAGGTGAAAGTGAAGCAGTCTCCCATTTTAAAAACTCCTTTCAATTCCCGCAAAAATTGTCTGTCTCCCACCTGAAAATAGACACTTAAAATAGTTATCAATAGGAGATACGTTTTCCATTCTGAATATATCCCGGCATTTTAATTGCTACTTCTTTGAGCCACTGTGGATGAGCTGACACTGAATTTCAACAACGGAGCTGCTTTCATATTGCTAAGTAACTATTTCTGTACACACATATATATTTCAAATCAACCTAAGAATTGTGTACATAAAGTATAAACTCTCAAAAAAACAAAGTTAGGGCATCACCTAGTGGCCAGATACTAAAATTACAACTAAAATTAAATCAAGGTTTTTTTTTGTGGGTGCATACTTCAAGTATGATGAGGAGCAGCAAGCAGCTGTAAATTAAATAGGAATGAAAGTTTTAAAATAATTCACCCAATTTTTTAATTCACTGGTAGGAACTCAATGTCAACGATAACTTGAGTGAAAGACATAAAAGGTTTTGTTTAAATGCTATTTTGGTTCGGACATGTTAGGACAGCAGAGCAAAAAAGGTAATATTCAATATGGCCTTTCCTTCTAACCAGTTTAAAACTGATTTTTGTTTATTAAATTGCTAACCGTTTTCCACCTGCTCCATGCATTGAAGTCTTGGTAGTGCGGTAGGGTTGCCATATTTCAAAAAGTAAAAAGCCAAGCCTTTTTTTAGGGAGACCCCAAAATCGTTGAGACTTCCCCCCCTTCTTCACAAAAATGCAAAAAACAGATTCAGGCCTTTCAGAAATCGCCCCCCCCCCCCGCCCCGGACATCAATTCCAGACTTTTGTTTCCACCCCTCTTTCAAAATATTTTCATTGCTGTTTCAGTAACAAGGTAGCATAACAAGATTTCAGAGTGTGAGCAAAAGAAATTGAAGATACATTTCTAATGAAAACAAAATGGGCTATGATCCTAATCCTGGAGCAACAGGATCTAACAGAGTGGGGAGGCCATCACCTGTAGCTGGAGCAGACAGCATGGGGCAGGCTAACTCCCCCAGAATGCCCCATCTTTTAACCCAATAATCCCATTTCTCCAAACATCTAATACAAACCATGTAAATATAACTTCACAATATGAAGAGTTAAGTCCTGCAATAGAAAACTGGGGTCAAGGGGGGGGGGTTGGAAAAGGACAGAGAGAGAGAGAGAAAGAGTGCACCTACCCTGAATTTATATTGTGTGCTTCTTTTAAGATTTTTCACAGTACATGTTCGGTCTTCTCCAGTGTACTTTGGGTGAAACACACTATCCTAAGGCGTAAAGGAGGACATAAGTTAAACAGGAACTACAGAGTCAATTAAGGAACACTGTCAACCTCATTATGTCACTAAGCAACAAGGCACTGTTGCCCCATGAAGAGAGCTGATCTTCTCTTTCGCAGAATGTGCCAAATTATAATAACAATAACAATAACAACAACAATATAGTATTATTTATACCCCGCCCATCTGGATGGGTTTCCCCAGCCACTCTGGGGGGCTTCCAACAGAATAATAAAATACAATAGTCTATTAAACATAAAAAGCTTCCCTAAACAGGGCTGCCTTCAGATGTCTTCTAAAAGTCTGGTAGTTGTTGTTCTCTTTGACATCTGGTGGGAGGGCATTCCACAGGGCGGGTGCCACTACCGAGAAGGCCCTCTGCCTGGTTCCCTGTAACTTGGCTTCTTGCAGTGAGGGAACCACCAGGTGGCCCTTGGCACTGGACCTCAATCTCTGGGCAGAACGATGGGGGTGGAGACGCTCCTTCAGGTATACTGGCCGTTTAGGGCTTTAAAGGTCAGCACCAACACTTTGAATTGTGCTCGGAAACGTACTGGGAGCCAGTGTAGGTCTTTTAAGACTGGTGTTCTGTGGTCTCAGCGGCCGCTCCCAGTCCACATTCTGGATTAGTTGTAGTTTCCGGGTCAGCTTCAAAGGTAGCCCCACATAGAGTGCATTGCAGTAGTCCAAGCGAGAGATAACTAGGGCCTGCACCACTCTGACGAGACAGTCTGCGGGCAGGTAGGGTCTCATCCTGCATACCAGATGGAGCTGATAAAACAGCTGCCCTGGACACAGAATTGACCTGCGCCTCCATGGACAGCTGTGAGCTTTCCTTGCAGGCAAAATCCTCTCCTTCCAGGTTCCTCCCAGGAATATGTAGTTCTGAATTATTATTTTTTAGCTGGTTGCAGAATGTCTCTGGCACATTTGTTGTGGGCTTAAAAAGCAGAGGATGAGGGAGAGTGAGGGAACATGCTGAGAACTTGGCGCTACCTCTCAGGACTGCACCAGACACTGCCCTCTTATCAAACCTTCCTGGGCTACCGTAGCCTGTTTGCCTCCTGAAACCACTGCAGCAGTCAAACCAAACATCCAAGCAGATGGAGCGCAAACCCAGTGTTGCCCCTTCCAGCCATGTGGGCATCTTCTCACAAGGAGAGGCTCTTTTCACAAGCATGAATCTAAAGCCTCATATATGAGCTTATGTGGCACCAAGAGCCTTGCATTTTGAGAGGTGGTCTGCATTCAGCAGCATCCTACCTGCTCGTCAACGCTTTGCTTATAAACTGGGGGTTCACTGCCAAGGTTATCAAACAAGCCAGAACACTGCGTATGTGTGATAAACCTGGAATAGCTGTAAAATGCTCATATTTGTGGATTGGCTGTATGAGCCTTCCTGAACCTGGTGCCTTCCAGATGTCTTGGACTACAACTCCTATCAGCCCCAGCCCACGAGGTTGGTTGCTGACTGATTAATACTTGCAAACATGAGCACGGTGATGATTTAAGGCACCACCATCCCAGCACAATATCAAAAGCTGGACAATGGGCCATTGACATAAACAAAACAGCTTGCTTGGTAGTGGTGGTGGTGGTAGTAGTAGCAGTAGTAGTAGTAGTAGTAGTAGTAGTAGTTATAGTAGTAGTAATACCGTATTTTTTCGTGTATAAGACTAGGTTTCCCCCCTAAAAAATAATGTCAAAAATTAGGGGGCGTCTCATACACAGATAGTAAAAGGTAAAGGTAAAGGTACCCCTGCCCGTACGGGCCAGTCTTGCCAGACTCTAGGGTTGTGCGCCCATCTCACTCAAGAGGCCGGGGCCAGCGCTGTCCGGAGACACTTCCGGGTCACGTGGCCAGCGTGACATCGCTGCTCTGGCAAGCCAGAGCCGCACACGGAAACGCCGTTTACCTTCCCGCTAGTAAGCGGTCCCTATTTATCTACTTGCACCCGGGAGTGCTTTCGAACTGCTAGGTTGGCAGGTCTGGGACCGAGCAACGGGAGCGCACCCCGCTGCGGGGATTCGAACCGCCGACCTTTCGATCGGCAAGCCCTAGGCGCTGAGGCTTTTACCCACAGCGCCACCCGCGTCCCTGATACACAGATAGTATCTCCCCCCATTTTATTAAATCTGAGTCCCCCAAAATAGGGGGTGTCTTATACATGGGGGCATCTTATAGACGGAAAAATACGGTAACAACAACAACAACAACAGCAACAACAGCAACAACAACACTCTGGGTGGCTTCCAACCTATTAAAAACATAATAAAACATTAAACAAACTTCTCTATCCAGGGCTGCTTTCAGATGTCTTCTAAAAGTTGTATGGTTACTTAACTCCTTGACATCCAATGGGAGGGTATTGTACAGGGTGGGTGCCACTACCGAGAAGACCCTGATGCTATTTCACCACCATTGGAGGATGACTCATGAGGGCTACAAAGGAACCACCATGTTGCACTGAGATTGGACAGGAGAGAAACAACTCAACCTAAGCTTTGTCCTTTCGGCCAATTAAGAATTAACCCCCCTGCAAAAAAAAACCCGCTGTGTGCTTGACATACAGTGGCAAGCAGCAACAAAAGGATTGCCTCTAATTGGACCCCTTTGCTCTTTTGCTTTAAACAGGGAGCCATTTTGGGCGCAGCACTGCACACGTACCAAGTTCACACGTGTTGAGGCGGCGCAGCCTGCAACAGGGGCGAAGAGAAGAACTGCCCAGAAATGGGGGTGGGTGGTGGGTGGGAATTTAAGCAAAGCGCAGTGGAAACTAAGGACACACAGAAAGTACTCAGAAAAAGCTCTCCACCTCCTGCACTCCCTGGTCTGGTTTCACAAAGGATGCATAGATTGTCCCTTGCAGCCAAGGACACCATTATTTCTGGGTCCCTTCAATGTTGTTTCTATGGCACCACATAGCGAATCGTTTTGTGCTGCGAAGGTTTCATAGGAACGCTCAAGTGTAGAGCACTTTAAGCCCAGCGCATCTGATGACGAAGGTTCAGGCTCAGATTCAGATATAACTTTTGTTACGTGGGTCATAGGAGATCTTATTAATACAACCCTCTGTTCACAATGGACTCAGAAAACTCAGTCGCAAGACCTATACAAATGTTATAAAAGGCCCTTAAGACATTCCAGGGCACTGTGACTTTTCAGCTGAGGCTCTATAAGTAGCAACCAGGAAGACAATTCAATGTGCAGCAGCCCCCAATTTATTCAGATTGGTGCAGCTGCATGAATTTCTGCCTCTGTAGATATTGATACAGTCTAGTGGGGCCTGCAACAAAACGTTGCAGCATATCATGCTGCAACAGCCATCCACACACCCTTACAGGATGTGTCATTCCAACCACACCAGCCCTGGCTTTCTGCCTCATCATCCCAACAATCAGTGAGTATTCCTTCCCCAATCATTCCCTCATTTTCTCCCACTGCTCTCTAGACTCCCCCCCCCATGTTTATTTTTTCCTTCCTGCAAACGGTGGGGTTCCCCCAAGCCTGCTAATATATCCTTCTCCCTGCCTCTCTCTCTCTCTCTGTCTGTGTGTGGCATTTTGGCCACATAAAGGATCCACACCGACAGAATGAGCTCACTATTTAATTTATCAAATGACATATAACAGATGAAAGTATAAGAATTTCGCTTTGTGGCTTCGGGAGCTCCAAAGAGTACTTGGAGCAAATAAATTCCAGCCAAGACTCATAGAATAGAATCATAGAATCATAGAGTTGGAATAGACCACAAGGGCCATCGAGTCCAACCCCCTGCCAAGCAGGAAACACCATCAGAGCACTCCTGACATATGGTTGTCAAGCCTCTGCTTAAAGACCTCCAAAGAAGGAGACTCCATCACACTCCTTGGCAGCAAATTCCACTGTTGAACAGCTCTTACTGTCAGGAAGTTCTTCCTAATGTTTAGGTGGAATCTTCTTTCTTGTAGTTTGGATCCATTGCTCCGTGTCCGCTTCTCTGGAGCAGCAGAAAACAACCTTTCTCCCTCCTCTATATGACATCCTTTTATATATTTGAACATGGCTATCATATCACCCCTTAACTTCCTCTTCTCCAGGCTAAACATGCCCAGCTCCCTTAGCCGTTCCTCATAAGGCATCGATCGTTTCCAGGCCTTTGACCATTTTGGTTGCCCTCCTCTGGACACGTTCCAGTTTGTCAGTGTCCTTCTTGAACTGTGGTGCCCAGAACTGGACACAGTACTCCAGGTGAGGTGTGACCAGAGCAGAATACAGTGGCACTATTACTTCCCTTGATCTAGATCTAGACTCTGTGACACATAACTATTTCACTTCTGTCTTTCCCAACTTCTCTACCATGAAGAGACAACATGGGTGGCAGTTATGTGCTGCCAACCTGAAAGAATGAACCTTTGCTCTCCCCAGAGTCGTGGTTCCTGTCAGGAGTTGGTCAACTTCCGTGGGATGTCAACTGACCCAGAGTTGTTGTGTTGATGTATCCTGACAGTTCCCAAACTTTTTTCATCACCAACCTCTTGAAATTTCCTGATGGTCTTGGTGGACCACTTAAATGATTTTTCTGCCTGTTGCGGCAACTCTAATGCACTTTGGGAGAGATGCTGTATACTCTTTAATTCTTTAATTGCTTTCCTATTTATGTTGCATTACCCTTTGCATTCCACAGAAATCAAACTATAATATACAATAAAATGCAATGTGCAAAATGGTAACAGAAGCAATAAATATACAATTAAAATCAGTACAGATATTTAATGCAAGCATGACACGGACCACCTGAATGATGTTCATGGACCACTGGTGGTCCATGGACCACACCAGGGGTAGGCAACCTAAGGCCCGGGGGCCGGATGCAGCCCAATCGCCTTCTCAATCCGGACCGCGGACGGTCCGGGAATCAGCGTGTTTTTACATGAATAGAATGTGTCCATCTCTGGGTTATTTGTGGGGCCTGCCTGGTGTTTTTCCATGAGTAGAATGTGTGCTTTTATTTAAAATGCATCTCTGGGTTATTTGTGGGGCATAGGAGTTCATTCATTTTTTTCCTTCAAAAAGTCCAGCCCACCACATGGTCTGAGGGACAGAGGCTGAAAAAGGTTGCTGACCCCTGGACCAGTTTGGGAACCTTCCTCCACAGGATAAAAGCACACCTTGTTTTTACTGCACATCCATGACGATTTGTGCTCATGATGCTATCAGGGCAGTCATATGCAATACCACTTTCATTACTGTTTGTGCCTGCAGAAGTATTAGGGTAGTTACACCCCGTAACATTTTGTACCACCAATGTCCCAATTCCATTTTTGTCCCGCTTTTGTTGCACGTAGCCCCTCTGCGATGCAATAACGTGGCAGCACTGGGGAAGCCTTGCAGGATAACTAGTACACCATTAAGAACATGTTGCAGAATACACCTGTGATAAAGCACCAAGCGGAGGGGGTGCCCTGGATTTTCAATCCATTGCGGGCTTTCCTCTGTATTCAGGTGCATGTCAGACCTTCCTGGATTCGGCTGCATTAACTCAGAACTTACATTATCCTCCTCCTGAATCTCCAGGGTGTAGGTGGTGACTTCCTCTGGTGTGCAGCCTTCTGCTTTGTTCCACTGCAGGGTGACCCAGGTGACTCCAGCACGGACAAGCCTCGGTGCGGAAGGGGTTTGAGGAATATTCCCTGACGTGTAGCATACAACTTCTTGGCTGAAGCCACTAAGGAGCAAAAGAAGAGGGAGAGCGTGGCCCTTCAAGCATACTGCAAAGTGCAACGAGACACACATCCCCCCCACAAAAAACGAAACCCCTTTCCTGCTTAGTAGTCACACACTGTTTTGAATTCTAAATTCTACATTGAATCTTAGTGAGCGGGTGCTGGGCAGAGACCGGATTTGCTAGTTGCTGTTCGGGATGGAGACTTCCCCTTAGATCAGGCACCCCCAAACTTGGCCCTCCAGATGTTTTTTGGCCTACAACTCCCATGATCCCTAGCTAGCAGGACCAGTGGTCAGGGATGATGGGAACTGTAGTCCCAAAACATCTGGAGGGCCAAGTTTGGGGGTGCCTGTCCTTGAGACTCTATGCAGGCCATGCCTCCTCCCCAGTCACCCCTGACTGCTGGTCTCCCTGCCATCCACCCTCCCTGCCCTACATGCTCTACTGGAACAAAATTGGTTGGACAGTGTAGAAAGCAGAATTCTGGACTAGGTAGGCCTCTGGTCTGATCCAACAAGGCTCTTCTTATAATTCTTAGCTCTGAGTTCAGTTTGGGAGGCCGGCGAAACACGTGGGGGCAGCTGTGATCACGTGCAACTTACCTCATGCCTATGTCATTCTGAGCTGCTAATCGGAATGTGTAGCCCACAGCCGGACAAAGCTTCGTCAGCTTGTAATGTTTTTGGCTCCCAAAGTAACATTCTCTGAAAACATTGCTTCTTTTTCCCTGGAAGAGAACAACAGCACACAACTTAATATAGATTCATGGATGTCACATTTTCCAAAGTCAAAATGGACGATCTTTCACTAATTGCTTACCGTTGTTTAAAAAAATGCACATGTGCAATGCCTGTGTGTTTAAAAAAATGCACATGTGCAATGCCTGTGTGTACCTTATGCTGCACACTCTGGTTGACTGATCAGCGTTCTCAATGAACTAAAGCCTCGGTTTCGGGTTAAAATTTGCACCTGAATTAGCTGGTGGAGCCGACGGCAAGTCTGGGAGCTTCCGGACAGCTTGCCACTAAGCAGGCTACACTGAAGTGCCTACTTAACGCTCCTTTTGTCCTATTTGTTTGTTTTCTAAGGAAACTTAAAAGGCAGTTTCTCCTTCTGTATCCAAAGCTGGCAGACTTGAGAAATAACTTGCTGACTCAAGCACAATACCATTTTCTTTCAGGAGCTTACAAAGTTCACCTCTGTAGAGTTTTTGAAATCAGTCACATTTGTCTGTCTATTCAAATTGTCTTTTTTACTCTGGTGACAATGTGCGAAAAGCTATTTTCTGTGGTGGCTACCTGACTCTGGAACTCTTCTCCTGAGAGATTTGGATGACTCCTTCATGTCCCCTTCACTCAGGAGTTTTTGACCCACCTGTTTATTTTGACGGATGTAAGTTATTTTTTTGCTGCGGCTTTTTTATATTTTAATGCTTTTCGTGTACAGAGGAAGAGCAGGAGAGAAATGGATTTAAAGAAATAAACATGCATACGCTTCCCAAGCTAGGTATGGGTTGGCTGTTATTTCAGACGCCTCACAGGATTGTGTTTTGTGTTCCACTGGCAATCACACCAGAGACTGGCTGATATGCTAATGGGTGTTGAAGTCCAAATCTTCTGAATGGCACCAGGTTGGTGATAACTCATTTAAGACAATAACAAAAAAGCAAACTCACTTGAAGTCAGAAAATACAAAAATGTACAATTTTACACTTACTTTTAAGACCTCAATACCAGGGACATAGGCTGTGTACACACCATACATTTAAAGCACATGTCATCCCCCAAAGAATCATGGGGCGTGTGTGTGTTGTAGTTTATCCCCCCACAAAGCTATAATTCCCAGCACCCTGCACAAACTACAGCTCCCAGGATTGTTTGGGGGAAGTCAAGTTCTTTAAATGCATGGTCCATACACAGCCATAATCACCTGCATGGTTTGAACTGTACTGGTGTTTCTGAATTGCATTGTTTACATGTTGTTGAAGATGTTTTACAGGGCACAACCACACAAAAGCTGACTTTACACCTCCAGAGTTCCATTCTCCTGCGTTTGAAGGATTTTGTGCTTCTCTATAGAACAGATTTGTGGTAAAACAGAAAGCTCATTGCTGTTTTTCCTGATTGATTATCACTTACCTCATCCCACTCTAAAAGGTAGCTGGTGATTTTTGAACCATTGTCGATAGGGGCCTGTGCATGGGGAGAAAGAAACAGAACAGAATAGGAAACTGGCAGGAAGCTTACAGGAAAAAAAGACTTTTAGAAATCCCCACAACAAAAATTTAAACAGATGTTGCACCTGGAAAGAGTAAGTGGCTTCCATTTACACTTTCATGATCATCATTTATACAGAAACACAGAAAGCTACTTTGTACTGTGTCAGACCATCCAGGCCAGTCAGACCATCTTGCCTACACTGACCAGCAACAGCCAGTTGTCACTCCAGAGTGTCAAACTGGGGTCTAGGAATGCCAGAGGCTGAACCTGGGTTCATGGATTCAAAAGAGTTGGAAGGGACCCTGAGGATCATCTAGTCCATCTTTTGCAAACAAAGCAAAAGATGTTTTACCACATCAGCTATACAGTGCCTTCATTTGTGTCTCTTCTGGCCGTGAGCATTACTCTTAAGAAATTTTGTCCCCCTCTGAAGCAAACCTGAAGATTGCCTCACACATCACACCAGCTGTGTGGCGACTACTGAGCAGAAAGTCCACAAAGGAAGCATAAAACAGCTTGTGACGATTTGAGCCAGTTTTAACCACATTGCTGAAATTTCCCTTTTCTGAGCCCAAATGTTACAGAAACGTCTTCAACTTTCCACACAAAACGCTACGATACGAGTTCCTCTCAGCAGAAACGGCTTGATGGGTTTAACACCAGAAGTGACGTAACAATATGCCATGGTTTGTTTTAGCCGCTTTTTGGTTCAACGAACCATGAATCATCTCAAAGGCGACCAAACAGGCCACGGCTTGGTTTCTCTAAAGCTTGGCCTGTTCTCCAGCTGCTCTTGCCTCACGTTGCTGTTGCTTTGTAAGCCTCCTGGGGTGGTTAGGAAAGGCTGTTGGATTTGGACGCAACATCAGTTAAAACAAGCCATGGTTCATAAGCTGATACCAAATCATGAATTCACACTTTGTGGCTTGCTTCCAACCCCGCTCCCCCAAACCATGGTTAGCCAGCTAGGCTGAGCTCAGGCATTCAAGCAAGCCTCACTCTGCCTAAACAAACCATGGCTTATTGTTACAGGTGAACCAGGCCAGTCGCTGATAGCTTGGAGATAGGAAGAAGATCAGGTGGGAACCCTCAGTTGCCTGACAAAAGCAGGAAGATAAAGAGAAGCCCTTCAAAAAATCCCTTAAGAATGTCCATAGGAAGAGGCCCGAGCCTAGCAGAAGTAGTAGTAGTAATACTACTACTACTACTACTACTAATTTATTATTTATACCCCGCCCATCTGGCTGGGTTTCCCCAGCCACTCTGGGCGGCTTCCAACAAAACACTAAAATACAATAACCTATGAAACATTAAAAGCTTCCCTAAACAGGGCTGCCTTCAGATGTCTTCTAAAAGTTTGGTAGTTATTTTTCTCTTTGACATCTGGTGGGAGGGTGTTCCACAGGGCGGGTGCCACTACCGAGAAGGCCCTCTGCCTGTTTCCCTGTAACTTGGCTTCTCGCCGCGAGGGAACCACCAGAAGGCCCTCAGCGCTGGACCTCAGTGTCCAGGCAGAACGATGGAGGTGGAGATGCTCCTTCAGGTATACTCCTTCAGAAGGGGAAGGATTTGATGACTCTTGGGTTCCCTTCTAACTCTATAATTCTGTGATGGTGGGAAGTCCCGGCCCACATAGGAAACAGCTTATTGTCAACGCAAATGTACTTCCCCTTGCCCTGCTCATACATGCCAGAAACAGTCCACCAATCTGTTTTTTGAAAGGATACAGCACAAAATGGATCTCAGAGCTTTCACACTGCTTACCTTCCACTGTAAAGTTAGGGAATTTTTGGTCCTGTGCGAAGGTTTGGGTGGGAAAGGACATTCCGGGGCACAGCTGTGCGTGGTGAAGCTAACGGGTTCTGAACGGGATCCCTTTACTGAATTATAGACGGCATATACCCTGAAATAGGGAACGAAGAGGGGAAATAAATAGGCGTTATTGATCTGGCTGCATCTGAAGGAGGAGCGGCTCCTTGCTCCTTTCGCCAACCTCACTAGAATGTCTCTGTTTTAGCAGGTCGGTCTTGGGTGACCCCGGTGAACAACTTAGCGTTATCGGACGCTGCAGCCTCGCCAAACACCTACTGCATGGATGTAGGACACGTGACCTGCTCAGATGCCGTTGGACCACAACTCTCATAGGTCCCAACCCCCAGCATGGCCATGATCAGGGTGATGGGAGCTCAAATCCAAGAACATCTGAAGGGCCACAGGTCCTGGTGTCCCCCCCACGGATTAGTGCCTTGGATGGGAAATGACCTGGAAGCCAATGTAGGAGCAGGATACTACGCAGACATGTATTTTCTGAAAACAAGTGGATATTTGATAAGTTGCAGGAGCAGTTCTGTTAGTGAATTCCTGTTTTTATAATACTGTTTTACCGGTTTTTCTGCTTCGTATACGCTTTTGTGTTATATTTTTGTTTACAAATTAAAACAGATTTTTTTTAAAAAAAGAAATATCAAGCAGTTTTTAAAGTAGATATATGTAGTCTGAATGCAGGGGAACGAAACCGGAAATGAACCATCTTCAGTCCAGACAAGCCCCCTCTGCCAGCACAAAGTTCAGCCAGATTTAGGTTATTTATTCACATGAATATGGCCCTAGTGAAGGTAAAGGGACCCCTGACCATTAGGTCCAGTGGTGGCCGACTCTGGGGTTGCGGTGCTCATCTTGCTTTATTGGCCGAGGGAGCCAGCATACAGCTTCCAGGTCATGTGGCCAGCATGACTAAGCCGCTTCTGGTGAACCAGAGCAGCGCACGGAAACGCCATTTACCTTCCCGCCGGAGTGGTACCTATTCATCTACTTGCACTTTGATGTGATTTCGAACTGCAAGGTGGGCAGGAGCAAGGACTGAGCAACGTGAGCTCACCCCGTCGCGGGGATTCAAACAGCCAACCGTCTGACCGGCAAGTCCTAGGCTCTGTGGTTTAACTCACAGCGCCACCCGCGTCCCAAATATGGCCCTATCCTGGTTCAAAAATGACCTCCTGTGACTTAGGGGGAGACAATGCCAAAGGGCTTCTCCATATTTTGAGTTTCAGTGTTCTCTCTTTTTTTTGCAGGCTGATCGGTGAATCAGAACCTGGTGTGAGAGGCAAGAACATTTGTGCCATCCATTCGGCAAGGCAATCCCATAACTATACTGAAGTGCTAGAATGGGAAGCTTTGAAGAAGTGGCTTGGAGTTCTCAAGGAAGACTAGCACTCCTTGAGAACTGGTATAGGGCTTAAGGCATGAGTCAGTGCAAATCTTGCCTCATCAGCTCGCCTTGGACATATGGCAATATGCTCAGTGTATCTACTACATTGTAAAATGAATGAGTTAACCCAAACATTTACGTGCTTGTACGTGTGTCTTTCGAATGCAGAGCTCCTTTAAAAGGGATGCAGACAAAACAAAGCAACTAGAAATTGTGTTGGTTTCTATTTGACGCTACTAAGCGCTGAACATGACCCACGATGACATCTCCTTGGGACACCTGCATTCACAAAGGAGTGACATAATGAAAGATGCTGGAAAGCCTGATACAGTCGTGTAGGATTTTCAGGCATCGCAGCAAAAACCACAGGCATATTCCAGAACAGTTTATCCCTCTGGAAATGTCAACCTCTGGAAAACGTTGCCAAGGTTAAGACACTCTTGACTTCGCTTTTGCTCTCTCTCGTCCAAACTGGGAAACCAAATGAACACGTAAATAGCTTCTCCCGTATGACCGCGGGTGTGCTGTCGTTTTGGATGCAACTTGGATCCAGCCGTATGTTTCCCCTGTGAATCATTTCTAGGCCGTATCTCTTGAACGCCTTCTTTATTGGTGTGTGAATGTGGGAGACGACACAAGCAAAGGAGACAGCCTCTCTGCCTTTGCCAAAACGTAGCAAGGAAATCCGAAGCAATTCCCTCCCTTAAACCAAAGGGAACCGACGGCTGGACAAGAATGCTTCCCTCACACAGCGACATGCCAGAGAAGGGAGTTCTGGTGTTGGAAGAACCCGGCTGTTCATTAGCCCTCAATCTAGGACAGGACCCCAGTAACCTGTTTGGGGATTTATCTCTTTTGTTCTTGCACCGTTCTCTGGGGTCTGGTAGTATTTGGGGAGAACTTGGGCAGTAGCTAACTACGTCTTACTCAGAGCAGATCCATTAAATTTAATGAACTAAGTTAGGCGAATTGATTTCAATGGGTCAACTCCAAGAAAAACTTAGGCATTTCCACATCTGCTTGTTTTTTGCATGTTATGTGACTTTTCACATAACGCAAAAGCCATTTTCTGGAAATCAAGTGGAAGCTCAGGGCTCATTTCTGTGTCATTTCCAGGAAAATACCGTTTTGCAACTCCCTTCAACTTGGGAAATGGTGGGAGTTTTGTGCTGATAAGGTCTGGGGCAGTATGGCGGCCTGCAGTTCTTTCCCGCCAATTAAAATTTTAGCATGGTGGCGTATTAACCAAAAAGCCACATTTCTACAACACAGCAAGGTACTGCTGTGTAAAGGGCGGTTGAAATTGGGACAGAAGTGCTAGTATTATATATACAGTAAAACTAATGCAATAAACTCCATGTCTGAACGCAGCCTTAGTTGACAATCATCCGTTGGTTCCACATTCATTAACTCAAGCATGGAGAAACTCTAGACCAAAGGCCTAACTGAGCCCACCAAACCTCTTCATTCGACTGTGAGACTGCTTGGGCCTAGCCATGTCCACGTTTGATGTGGGGCAGGTAAAGACTCAGATGGGCTGAAATGGAGACACTTACTTTGTGCGGGGGTGCTTTTTTGTGTTTTGTTTTTAATACTCTGCGAAAGCCTGTGCTGGAGTCTCCAGCTGTTGTTGGACTACAAAACCCATCATTCCTAGCTAGCAGGACCAGTTTTAAGGGTGATGGGAATTGTAGTCCCAAAACTGGAGACCCAAGATTGGGAAACCCTGCTCTAACAAGACTGAGATACAATTTTCTTTTTTTTTTTTTTTTGTAGGCAGGAACATCTAGTCTACCTTATTCTTATCACTCAACCATTCTAGAAGCTTTTTAAAGTTTTTCCTTAGAAACAACAATCCAGAAACAGAATATAAAACAACGAAATAAATCTAAACAGGCAGGGAGAGATTTGGAGCACACAGCCTGTTTAAACATGTGTGGAAAAGGGGTCTTATCCTTGACCTATGTAGTCAAGAGGAAAACAGAACATTTCCAGTATTTTACGTTTACTCACATTACAGTGACTGTCCAAATATTGACAATCCCAGATAACTTTTGTTAATATCTGTAAACTTAGTGATACACTAGGGAACACCAACGATCAGTCAAGCTGGTAGAAGTTGCCAACATTGACTTGGATTATGTCCCAAAAGAGGGGAAAACACGATTCTGTTTTCAAGCTCTTACAAAATTAAGCCGGATAATTAAATATCCACATGTAAATGTCAGCAACTATAAAGTTTGGGACAGTCCACTGCGACATCTATCACTGAATGGATTGAAACTGCAAAATCTACCCAAGCAATGTAGCTCACCTGACATGATATTCCGTTGCTGGCCTAAGATCTTTCAGTTTGTATTCCAATTCTTCTCCACTGAAAAAAGAAAATGAAAAATGGTAACATTCATGCAAAGAGTGCCAATTTACATAAATGTATAGCACACCTTACTTCTAAAGACGTAAAAAAACCAGCCTCATAAGGAAAAGTAGTAATTTCAAACAGTGCAAAATGCAATTAAGCACAATAGAGCTAATCCCAGGTTTTATTTTCCATAACAGAGTACACTGTAAATATTTCTCTCTTTCTTTTTTTAAGGACAGAGCAACCTCTAATCAATGTCTAACACAGTCCAGGCATGCTCACATTGCTGATGACAAAAAGAGAAAAATGGTCATCAATGGATCATGGAGGCTAGAGGCCTAAATCAGTCCTACCCCACTCTTCTTCTTTTTGGGTATTCTCGAGTCAATTCTGGCACCGTTTTACAGCTTTTACAAAATATATATTTTGTATGTGTATGCTCATTGTTTCATTCATTTTGTAAACCTCTCTTAAAGGCCAGTATAAAAATAATACTTCTATGCCTCTTGGATACCATGGAGAGTTTTAAAGCAGTGGAATTTCCACTGGCATACCATACATCAGGGTATGGCTGTAAAGGTACTGTACAGTGGTACCTTGGTTCTCAAACTTAATCCATTCCGTGAGTCTGTTTGACTCCCAAAACAGTTCGAAAACCAAGGCGCAGCTTCCAACCGGCTGCAGGAGCTTCCTGCATTCAATCGGAAGCTGAGCCGGACATTCAGCTTCTGAAAAAGTTCGCAAACCAGAACACTCACTTCCACGTTTGCAGCATTTGGGAGCCGATTTGTTCGGGAGCCAAGCCATTTGGGAACCAATGTACCACTGTATTTAGGTACAAAATATGGATTGTGTGACTACAGTGACACACTCACAACATGTAGCCTATATTACAAAAGCCCAGCCACTATGTTCTAAACTCGAGCACTTACAATAGAAAGGCCTCAGCTGCGCTACGCATTTAAATCAGTGTCATACCACTTTAAACAGTCGCTGCTTCCCCCAGAGAACCCTGGGAAATGTAGTTGCTTAAAGGCGCTGAAAGTTGTTAGGAGACCCCTCTTCCTCCTGCAGAGCTACAGTTCCCTCTGAAGAGGGTCTGGCTGTTCAACCAGTCCGGAAATTACAGCTCTACTGTGGGGGAAGATGGGTTCTTCCAACACGTCTCAGCATCCTTAACAAATTACAGCCGCCAGGATTCTTTGGTGGAAGCTGTGACTGTTTAAAGCAATACGATGCTGAACTTATACATAGAAAGCCCGCACTTCCACAAGCCCTATTGCTTCCCATATTAAAATTCAGTGACATCCAAGCTTATGGAAATGCTCTCAAAGGCAAAAGGTGAATTCGTAAATTTATTTGCTAAATGGCCTCTTTCTAGATGAAATGTGTGGACTACACAGTAGTCAAGCTGGCATGCCACCAATATTCCGCTCTGGAAGTCATTGGGACACACACACACACACACACACACACACAGCAGACGGCTATTCCAGCTGGTGAACACTATGGAAAAAAACGCTGGGAGGGGAGCTGAAAGGGAGGAGGGAATGGCAAAATGACAACTGTGAAAGTGGAAGGAACATTGTGCTTCACGCTGGAAAAACAGCGATGGCAGCTTCTCCTTACCCTTCCAACCCCAACACCTTAGCTTTTTATATATAAAAAAAAAACCATGTAAAAATCGTAGCACTTGCATATTCTCTACCTGTAAATCATTTTGTACTTTCCATCCCTCCCTTTGTCTGATAAGGCAACTTCGTAAATACAGGTATAAGGCAAACCGTTGCTGTGCCTATCCACACTCAGAAGGTCATTCGGAGGAGACCATGTGAGCAAAACTGTCCTCGCCTGGATATCGGAAACCTAGAGAGACAAAAGAAGATGGCGTTAGTGTCAGAGGCGAGATGAATCGTGGGCATGTATGCATAGAAGAGGTGAAGACACCCAATGGCATCACCAAAGATAGGGTGGTGGTACTCAAACCCCAAATAAACTGCTCCTTGCGCTCTACTAGAAACATTTTGCAATGGAACCAAGCGGTTGCACCCATCCCTAAGCCATGACCAAAGCCTTTTTCAGGTACCCCATTTGCAATATTAAGAGTCACAACCCACCCCCCTTAAAACTAGTGGAAGAAGCTGGGCAGCTATGCTTATCCTACCTCCTCTGTCCCCATCGTCCTTAATGACTTAAGCAGGAGACTTTCCTGCTCCGGTTGGGTAGGCTTCTAGAATGCACAGGGAGCCTAGAGGAGCGCCGAAGTTTTCTTCACAGTGGGAGCCCTGTACACAGTCACCCTCCAAATCTTGGAAGCTAGACGCAAGTAGCTCAGAATTGCGTTCCCTGATGGCAGCAGATCTCCAAGGTTTCAGGCAAGGACTCTCTTCCAGCCTGAAGATGCTGGGACTGAACCGGAGTCCTTCTATTGAGGTACGGCCCTTCACTGATGGGGCAGACCGAGCACACTCAACCCCACTTCCTCCTCTATGGTAAATGAATCCTGTGAGCAGACATATGCTTGGAAGACGGCTTAGGCAACGGTTCTCAACCTGTGGGTCCCCAGATGTTGTTGGACTACAACTCCCATCATCCCTGAGCTCTGGCCTTGCTAGATAGGGCTGATGGGAGTTGTGGTTCAACAACATCAGGGGACCCACAGGTTGAGAAAGGCTGGTTTAGGGAGATCTAAGATTAGGATTTCCCATGTTTTTCCTCTGCTAATCAGCAGCCCCATAGAGAGACGCATAACTTTTTCCTCCCATGCCCTCTCTGCTGCTATTAACACGAGGAGGAGGCGACAGGTAGAGAAAGTGGGGCTGCCAAAAATCACTGTCGCCCACATCATGTCTGGTTTTGACCCAGACACACCAAGCGTACGTTTCGTGCCAAGCTCAATCTCTGAGCCCTTTCGCTGAGCCAACAAGGCAGCGACACCGGAGAAGTTATTATCCACAAACGCACTTAATCTTATCCCGCACCAAAACATCTGTAACCCTGAAAAAGGTCTACAAATGACTTTATGATCTTATTTGGAGTCAACTCCTAAAACGAGTTAATAAATCTTGTGGGCCGTGTTTATCAGGCAAAGGAGGAGTTCACGCAGCATTAACATTTTTCTGAGCTTATGTAAAAAAAACATAAAAAATAAAAAAACCCCAAACCACGGTGATTGCTTCAAACACCTGGAATGATTAAAGCTGACATCGAATTAAGCCAGACGTCTGCAGCGAAAGCTCAATGTCTCGAATGAGACGGTGCAATTAAAATGCCTCAGGGATAAAATGGTAGCCAAGAATAAAATATGTTTACAGCTGAAATAAGCCCCTACACAAAATGTTTGATATCAATTAGGCGTTTTATAGGTCAAAATGAGGACAAAAGACAACCAAATTGGATTGGGGGAGGTTTCTATTATTATTATTTTAAAAAGCACAACTGACTAAAAAGAGGACACCCCCCCACCATTTTGTTTATTATGGACACATGCTTGCATAACTGTTTTGCATAAATTCAGACAAGGACTTGGAACTTCATGTACCATATCCAGCCAATGTTCTGTTGGAATGCTTTCTTTCCTTTATGATCACTCGCTAGGACACACGTATCCATTTAGAACATATGGCTAAAAACAAAACAAAAAGAACTTTCTCTTTTTTTTTTTTTTTTTGGTATCCCTTTATAAACCTTAATAATTTGCACAATCCAGAGAGTAAAACAAATAGCAATTCCTGTGGACGTCCCGGGAAGAAAATCTTGGAAAACAGGGAGGATGAGGGGAATTTCACACAGGGAGGCAGCAAGTTATGTCATTTGTTCTCCTAGGAGGTTAAAGCTCTGTTTTCTGAGAGAGGAAGGTGGCACTACAGCTTCCGATGAAATAGGAGGCTGACTTGCACCCTATAGATCAGGGATGTCCAACCGGTCAACCTCGATCAACAGGTCAATCCCTGGGTGACAGCAGTAGATCGCGGGCTCATTTTCTTCTGCGGAGGAAAAAGAGAATCCTTGGGTGTACTGTCCTGGTCGTTGGTTGGCTGTCAGCGCCCTGCTACGCCAGCGTCTCTGAAGCCCCTGCAAGTTCACTCTGGGAAAAGGCTTCGTGGATCTCTGGCCGTGCGATGGTAGACCGTTCCTGGCGGCTGTTCTCTGCTTCCCTGCAACGGCCTGACTGAAGCTGAGCCCCCCTAAAAAAAAGCTCAACTACTCTGACTCCTCCTCCCCTCCCCCAATGGGTAGATCACTGCCAGTTTTTCATCCCGGGAGTAGATCGCAGTCTCTTGGGAGTTGGATGTCCTTGCTATAGATCACAGAATTGTAGAGTTGGAAGAGACCCTGAGGATCATCAGGTTCAACCTCATGCAATGCAGGAATATGCAGCTGTCCCATACGGGGATCGAACATGCAACCTTGGCACCATGCTCTAAGCCAGTGTTTCCCAACCTTGGGCCTCCAGCTGTTTTTGAACTACAATTCCCATCATCCCTGACCACTGGTCTTGCTAGCTAGGGATGATGGGAGTTGTAGTCCAAAAACAGCTGGAGGCCCAAGGTTGGGAAACACTGCTCTAAGCAACTGAGAAACCTGAACCGTAAACCAAGAAACCATGGTTCAACCAGTCACCTCAGCGATGGCTTTAGTCTTAGACCCACCAACTCCATCTAAAGCTCAAAGGTTTGGGAGGAAGTCTTCTGCGTTGCCCAACATGGTCCTCCACTCCCCTGCAGGCTTGCCTGGGAGACATGGGTAGATCTAGGAATCCAAATTAGCTTTCTTACAATTCTCCAGGGTGCCTGACAGAGCGATGTTGCAGGGCGCTGAGGAAAACGTAACATGCCAAAAGAACCACCGTGGTTATTTATTGAATTTCCGCACCGCCCTTTGTCCAAGGATCACAAGGCGGTTTGCAATGTAAAAATACAAAAATACAAACCATGATAACAAACAAAAACAATACCCACCCCCAATTTTAAAAGACTATAGGTTGTTTTAATTATCCAAAGGCCTGGGAGAAGAGGAATGTTTTCACCTGAGGCCCAAAGATATGTACTGTAAGGAAGGTGCCAGGGGAGCCTTCCTGGGGAGAGCATTCCACAAGCAGGGAGCCACCACAGAGAAGGCCCATTCTCGTGTTGCTGCCCTCTGGATCTCTCGTGGAAAAGGCACACAAAAATGGGTCTCAGACGATGGTTGCAGAGTCCAGGTTGGTTCACACAGGAAGAGGCGGTCCCTGAGGTGCTAGGCAGCTTCATTGGTTTAAACGGAGAGTCAAAATAGATTCCACTGATCCATCTAAGTACCTTGAACTGAGCCAGAAGGTACCAAGCAGTCTATGCTGAATGTAAGTTGACATTTGCTGCAAAACAACCCGTCCATAAGACTTTACTATATGCACACTCCATTGGAAGCCTTTCCTGTGAAAGCCCCATCCGGAATGAATGAGAGCTGGACTTATTGCATAGCTTGGATTCGTTCCTAATGTAGTTTGTGCCCTAATTAAAATACCACAGGGTCATAAAGTACGATACACCTAGGTTGAGAGAAATTGTTTCTTCTTGTACAGCAAGAACAGAGAATCACAAAAGGCACATTTCTTTGCTTGGGTAATCCAAACTATTCAGTTTGTTATTTCCAAAAATATATATTCATTTCCCCCTTTAGCCATACAATAGCTAAGTCGGTATCATAAAGTTGCCTGTTAGAAACAATAATCCAAATTAAAATGCCCACTTTAAGAAGGAATGAAAAAAATAGATTACAGTTTATTGCACTATTTTTTTGGGGGGGAGGGGAGAACGCTTCATGATGGAGCTTCAATTCCTTTGAGCAATATGTCCAGCACAAGCTTTCTCAGCTGCCACAGAAACATTTTAATTTCGAGACCCTGATACTGACTGTGTGTGTGCGCACATCGCATCTCCAAATTTCAACCCACAACTCAGACCTTGCAAAAAAGGGTTGCAATTTTCAAGAAGATGCTCATCTAAGCAGTACTTCAACTACGGTATGTCTCTGAAATGCAGAGACCAGCAGGTAGATCAGTAGGCAACATTCACTGGATTTTTCAACTTACTGGTCCTCTAGTCTACTATTCATTAAACAATCACCTTTTCCTTCCTTTGTAATGCCCCCTCCTTAACCGAAAAACATAGCCAATTAAGCAAAAGAGCAACGAGGCTGGTATTACTATTTCTACAGGATTTCAACAGGATTGCTTCTGTATGGTCCTCTCTCTCTCTCTCTCTCTCTCTCTCTCTCTCTCTCTCTCTCTCATATGGACTTGCACACAACAAATACAAGATCATGCATGCAACTACTACTGGCAGGAATTCACGCGCTCACATATGTGCTGAAGTCATCAGCGAAGCACGCTAAGGCCATCTCAGACGAAAGCCCGTAAAAACCTTTCTACCAGACTGCCCTGTTACACAATCTCAGCATGCCACACATGTGAAAGGAAAGCTGGGAATAATGCAAGGAATGCAGCTGTAAACATTTTACATGTTTACGGGGGCTATTTCTGCACATTCACTTTTTTAAAAAAAAAAGCCAGATGACTAACGGTTTGATTGCATGAGCTACAGCGGCAATTACGTGTTTTCAAGATAAGGAGGCACAGCTGCACCAAAGCAGCCTCGTGGCTAAGGCAACTGCGAAGATGACCACAGGGATGCTTGAAGGACCGAGTGCAATTCAAACTCCGAAGTGGTGCTAAGATTGCAGCTTTAGCTAACTACTGGATTGAGATGCACTTCTCATACTGAAATTCTCTACTTAAATAGGATATCTTCTTCCAAACAATGCAGACCAGTGCAGAAAGATGGGTGAAAAATATATGAAAGTAGCACAGATCGGAAAAGGGAAAGATTTGTCCGTCCTTAGACGACTACATCCAAACCTAGACCAGGAGTGTTTTTGCCCTGGTTCAGAGGTCCCTGAGGTCAGTGGCTGGAGCACAGAGCTTCAGCTAGCAAATTAATAACAATAACAATAACAATAACAATAATATATTATTTGTACCCCGCCCATCTGGCTGGGTTTCCCCAGCCACTCTGGGAGGCTTCCGACAAAGATTAAAAATGCATTAAAATGTATCACATTAAAAACTTCCCTAAAGAGGGCTGCCTTCAGATGTCTTCTAAATGTCAGGTAGTTGTTTATCTCTTTGACATCTGATGGGAGGGCGTTCCACAGGTCGGGCGCCACTACCGAGAAGGCCCTCTGCCTGGTTCCCTGCAGCTTTGCTTCTCGCAGTGAGGGAACCGCCAGAAGGCCCTCGGAGCTGGACCTCAGTGTCCGGGCAGAACGATGGGGGTGGAGATGCTCCTTCAGGTATACTGGGCAGATGGTTGAGAAGCTGAAGCAAGCCTGAAGTACAGCAGCTACTGCTAGATTTCTATATACACACATATATTTATACAGATGCAGGCAATCGAGAGGGTTTGTCCTGCTTGCCAACTGCAAAGGCCAAAGGGGCACATCCTCTGGGGCATGGAAAATAATGGTGCCTTCATTCAATTACAGGAAAATATCTATGTATCAATATTGGATGATACCCAATTGTGGCAGCCCTCTTCTGCAGCAGCCACTTTGCCAGCGGGAATCTCATTCTTAGCACAGCACAACAGTGAAATCCAATGGGAGTTGTGAACTTGGATGATGATGATGATGATAATAATAATAATAATAATAATAATAATACTATGCAACCCCTACGCTGTAATAATAATAATAATAATAATAATAATAATAATACTATGCAACCCCTACGCTGTGAAATATAAGCTTGTGTGCTACCAATGACATGAACTCCAAAGCTACTTTGCACGAATGTTACACTAGATCTAATCTCATATCTTCAATTTTGCACTGCTATGTAATTATTATTTTTTGTCAAATGCCAGTGGATCACATACCTGCGGTTTTTCAATTCCAGAAAGGACATCTTGAACCCTTTTTGTTTCTGTGTCGCATTCTGTGCAGGAAGAAAAAAGAGGACAGAAATTACAACTTTTGCTTCAGCAGCAAGAGCGTCAACCGAATTTTGAATTCATCCACATGCAAGTTCACACAATCAGAGAGATAACGCAGAGGCAATGCTTTAACCATGGATCAAAGGGAGGCACTGTGAACTCTCATGCTTGCTCACTATGCGTATAGTTCCTTCCTCCTCTGGTGCAAACTACGATCACTATTCTAAGGCTCATGCCGAGATCAACTATATTTATTTACTTATTCCAAACCTCTTTTAACTACTTTTCATCGAGAGAATTCCAAAGTGGTGTGTACAGTAAAAAATCTATCAACCCATCATAGAAACACAATATAAAAACCAATGTATTAGAATAACAATATACAGTAAAAAGCAAGATGCAGATTAGAAATGGCTGTCAGCTTTAGTCATAGTCAAGAGCTGTTGTTGATGTTATTTTAATTTATTACCTGCCATTCACCCTAATGTCCTGGGGTGTTTTACAACAATTTAAAATATAACATTGGAAACAGTTTTAAAAACCTAAAAGTAGAAAAATGAAGAAATCACAGAAAATAGGCTGTTTCCTGAAAACATACACCTGAAGTTGTGTATACATTATACACCGGAAGCTGTATGATGAAGTTGCCAGACACACCTCTCTAGGGAGGGATTTCCACAACTTAGGGGCTGCCACAGAAAATGCTCTCTTCCTAGGTCACCCCCAACCTGAGTGTCTGAAGGCAGCAGAACTACCAGGAGGGCCCCCTCCGCCGATCTTAACATACAAGGTTTTGAAGTTAACCTCAACCAGGATATGAAGCCGGGGTTTAAAGCTTGGTGCTGGTGGAAGGCTATGGCTCCTCACCTGTAACCAATAAAGTTGTGGCCTTTTTTAGCCCATTAACCTTAATAATTGTGTCATTATTTCCACTTGGGGGAGGGTGGGAACTTGCCACGCAAAGCCACTTCCACCCTTCCACCCGCGTGATTGGAGGGATTCCCGGCCATGTCACCCCCTGGCCAGCCAATCAGCTGGCTCTGGGGGCGTGGCCTGCCCCATTTTAAGCAGGACGCAGCCAGGGATCTCCCTCTTTGCCGCTCCTCAGAGTTTGGTTTTCCCCACCCTCCCGCCCTATAAGGTTTTGCCTTTGACCTTGCTATGGACCTTGGTTGGTTGCCGTTGAGGGGCCTGGTAGGAATTTTTCCACTTGGCAAATTGGCACCACCCACTTGGTTTTTGCCTACCTCGTAGCAAATCGTCACAACTTTCTGGATATTGGTAGTTAGGCATTGGAATATTTCTGTAGTTGGAAGAGGGGAGGAAGCGCCATCACCTGCCCCACGTATTGAAGGGTAGTCCGGTAAAGGATTCCGGGGGGCGTGGCCCTGTCCGAAGCATAGGGAGGTGAGGGCCTAAGGCACGCCCCCTATCGGTGACCCCGGGGGAGTTCCTAGTTGACGTGCATCAGAAGGACTCCCCTTACTGGTGGTTAACCCTTCTGGACTTCAAGCGGACGGGCTGAAGTCGGATATAGTCGGTTAGGACCAATGCCTAAGCCAATACCGCTCATCACCGGTAACCAATAAAGTTGTGGCCTTTTTGAAGTACATTAACCTTAATAATTGTGTCATTATTTCCACTGGGGGGGGCGGGAACTCGCCACGCAAAAGTGCTATCCTGTTCCTCTAACCCTAGGTAAGGAGCAGGGGTGAAAGGAGTTTCCTAGGTTCCTCTTAAGAATCAAGAGTATTTCAGCCAAAACCTAGTATGCACTGAGAGGCGTGGGGGCAGGATTTTGGGCCCTCTAGTTGCTGCTGAACTACATCTCCCATCAACCCCAGCCAGCATGGCCAACAGTCAAGAGTGATGGGAATTGTAGCCCAGGAGCATCAGAAAGGCCAAAGATTCTCCACACCCGATCCAGGCCACAGGTAGCAAAAGAACTGTCTTTGCGACATCTGGAAAACGAACAACTGGGCACAGAATCATGAGTAAGAAAGCAGGTTTAATAACTCAGTATCAGGAAAGTCCTCAGAATTCAGCTACGAAAGAAGAATTATGAAGCTGTGCACGTAAGATCTGTAGTTGTCGACCGGGCTGAAAATGCCCTGATCCTGCCATTTGTGGAACCGGAATGCTGGCCTGTTTCCTTTTGCATTCGAACAATCTAGCAGACAAGCCACCTTTCCAGGCACATAACGGGGGAAGACAACACACTGAGGGACGGCTGAGCATGGCGACACTGTTTTGCTCAGAGACAGGCAGACTATGCTAAACTGGTCTGCCAGCTTCAGACAATTTCCTTCGAAAGGAAGGAACACAGGATGATTATTCAGCCTCTGGCAAAGACTCCAAATGGCATTTGGAGCACAAATATAACAAGAGTCTTACATATCATTCTGATTCTGCCTACTTTGGCACAGAAGGAAGCCTATCAGATCTTTATGCTCTTGTTTATGGGAATATTCCATAGTAATAATCCTTTCATCCCTGATTATACCACCTATCTCCCATCCCTTGGATTTGTGCTCCCAATTTTGCTCTCAGCTTGCTCCTTTTCTCTCTCTACTTGAGTTAACTCAAGCTCAAGGGCAATAAGGCATCACTATTCAACTCATAACAGGAAAGGATATGGTGGTACCTTGTCCACTTAGTGAATCATTCAGATTACTATTCATCATTCAGATTACTATTCATAACAAGAATAGTTCAGTTTGAAAAAGAAAATAAAGAACCTGACCAAAAGCAGTGGTTCCCAAGAAAATACTCAGTGCAAATTAATCTTCAAGCGGATCACACTTGACATTGCCTGGCTGCCAAAGATCATGACACCAAAACGTGGGCGGAAAGCTACAAATCTCTGAAAACCCCAAAGGCCATTTTGACAGTATTTCAAGAATCCAGATCCAAACTATTTGCATTCTTGCACAAACACATTGCAAGTGAAACATGCATGTGTGAAAAGTGCTCCATATTCTCAAGACTTCAAAACCAATGATGCAGTGCAACTATGAATGCATGGAAACATTTGGAGCTCTGTATTGATATGACCACAACTGACAATTAACTGCACAATGGGAAACCGATGAATTCTGAACAAAATGGATTTTCCAGGAAGAAAGAACCATGTAATAAGAATCCATATTCTGCTCTGGCTCAGTAATGGAGACTCTCTTTGTTAGGTAACAATATTCACTTCAAAATTGTCTTAAAGATGTATCTTAACAGTCAAACCACAAGCCACTAAATGTTAAGAAACACTGAATGTAACTCAACATAAATGATGTCTTGTAATTATGTAATCATGTAATTATTTAATTAGTTGGAACTGGTGTGGGGTTTTTTTTGTTTTATTATGGGTTGTATTTATTGGTTTTATTTGCATTTGTTAATGATGGGTGAATTTTTGTTTTGTTATCTGGTAATTCTGTTCTGTTATTTTATTGCAACACAGTATGCGAAGCGGATTCTTGAATTTTTGTTTCGTCTGTTTTCAGCCGTATTTCGAATGGCTACAGGATGGCAAAGCGATTTTTGTCACGTATTTTGTAATTGCTATGGATTGTAAACCAGCTCAAGTACAGTTAATACGGAGAGGCAGTGTGCAAATTTGAAATGATGTGAAATAACTTAAAACTACTGGACCCACTGGATCTGGCATTTCCTCCTGAAATCTTCAGGGCGGGGGGATAATCAAATGCCCCTTTTCTTCATCACTGCAAAATTCTTTATACTTATTACTTCACCTTAGCTGCCAGAAGCTGAATCTGAATCATTCTTGACCTTTAATCCTTAACATGTGGACCAGATTTTCTCTCTTTACATTGCTTTATAGCTGGGATTCCTGTCACACTCAGTAATGAGATGAGATAAAAATAAACCTACAAAGCTCAATGAAATTTCATTTCCCTCTCCATGTGGAAAAAGTGACAATTTTCTACAGTAACTAACCCCAGCGTTGACCCTTTTCAAGTCACTGATGACTAGCACACTCCAGCTGAAGCACTGGATAAAAATAGGATACAGGGACTATAAAACAAACATGGCGGTTATTTTAGATATTTAAAGGGTGAGGGAACAGAACTCTAAACATACATTCCCGCGAGGGATGACCGATTCCTGTTATGACTTTGGCAAGGGTCATATTGTTAAGGGCTGAGGCCCAAGAATGGACTACGACGTTGCTGTACCAAGACAGGGGGAAATGGTGGCCAAATATCATTTCTCTGGGAAGGATATAAATGTGTAACATAAGCCTCTTCGTCTTCCTTAGGCCCCTTTCATTGAACTGTTGGCGTTCAGATGTTGTTTGGACACCCAACTCCCATCACTCAGCATGATGTAATAATTGGGGCGATGGGAGCATTAATCCAACAACATCTGGAGGGCCACAGGTTCCCCATTCCAGCTTTAAGCTCATGGCACGTAATTATATTAATTATAAAAATAGGTAAAGGTAAAGGGATCCCTGACCATTAGGTCCAGTCGTGACCGACTCTGGTGCTGCGGCGCTCATCTTCCTTTATTGGTCGAGGGAGCCGGCGAGGGAGCCTTTATTGGTCGACCAAGCTGCTTCTGGCAAACCAGAGCAGCGCATGGAAACACCGTTTACCTTCCTGCCGGAGCGGTACCTATTTATCTACTTGCACTTTGACATGCTTTCGAACTGCTAGGTTGGCAGGAGCAGGGACTGAGCAACAGGAGCTCACCCCGTCGCATGGATTCGAACCGCCGACCTTCTGATCGGCAAGTCCTAGGCTCTGTGGTTTAACCCACAGCGCCACCTGTGTACTCAATGGTAAATCAGGCTTTGCTCCTGGCCACTGAAATCGAGTGCCAGTTAGGGGGTGGACCTGCCAGCCTAAATTTCGTCCATAACACTTTTGCACATTTTGGGTGCTAACATCCCGCACAAGTGATGTATAAATGGTATTGTGAAAGGAGGGAAGTGTCGTATCTAAATGGGCATGAGACACACCAAAGAGTGAAATAATCGCCC